AATGTTGACAACCAGCTTGTGGCTTGGAGTATAGCCACACTAGAGTTAAAGGAGAAGGTGGTTTTCTGGCCTTGCTACGGAAAGGCCCACTCTGTGATATTTACAGCCATAGGGCCTAAATTAAGCTTTTCACGATCCTGCATGATACTTGGTACCTACAGATTGTAAATTGTGCATACAAATTGAGCTCTGGTGCATCTTGTTTCCATTGATCATCCTAGAGATGTTTCTACAACTTGATTGGAGTCCACCTGTGGTAAATTTAATTGATTGGACCTGATTTGGAAAGGCACACACATGTCTATATAAGGTCCCACAGTTGAAAGTGCATGTCAGAGCAAAACCCAAGCCATGAGGTCAAAGGAATTGTCCGTAGAGCGCCGAGACAGGATTGTGTCGAGGCACAGATCTGGGGAAGGGTACCAAAACATTTCTGCAGCATTGAAGGTCCCCAAGAACACAATGGCCTCCATCAATATTAAATGGAAGACGTTTGGAACCACCAAGACTCTTCCTAGAGCTGGCCGCCCGACCAAACTGCACCTAAAGGACTCTCAGACCATGAGAAACAAGATTCTCTGGTCTGATGAAACCAAGAATGCCAAGCATCATGTCTGGAGGAAACCTGGCACCATCCCTACGGTGAAGCATGGTGGTGGCAGCATCATGCTGTGGGGATGTTTTTCAGCAGCAGGGACTGGGAGACTAGTCAGGATCGAGGGAAAGATGAACGGAGCAAAGTACAGAGAGATCCTTGATGAAAACCTGCTCCAGAATGCCCAGGACCTCAGACTGGGGTGAAGGTTCACCTTCCAGCAGGACAACGACCCTAAGCACACAGCCAAGACAATGCAGGAGTGGCTTCGGCACAAGTCTCTGAATGTCCTTGAGTGGCCCAGCCAGAGCCCGGACTTGAACTCGATCGAACATCTCTGGAGAGACCTGAAAATAGCTGTGCAGCGATGCTCCCCATCCAACCTGACAGAGCTTGAGAGGATCTGCAGAGAAGAATGGGAGAAACTCCCCAAATACAGGTGTGCCAAGCTTGTAGCGTCATACCCAAGAAGACTCAAGGCTGAAATCGCTGCCAAAGGTGCTTCAACAAAGTATTGAGTGAAGGGTCTGAATACTTATGTAAATGTCATATTTCAGTTTTTTATTTTATGGGGTATTGTGAGTAGATTGATGAGGAGAAAACCCCCCAATGTAATCCATTTTAGAATAAGGCTGTAACGTAACAACATTTGGAAAAGGTCAAGGGGTCTGAGTACTTTCCGAATGCACTGTATATTTATATATTTTTATTTATTCTTATTTTTTATTTATTCTTACTCAATACCCCTACTTCCCACTGCCAACTGCTGTGATATTTACAGCCATTTTTTATAATTTAAAGCCCCCATGCAGTCTTTTTAATTACATTTTTTAAATCATCACTGTATGTCTAATAAATCACTGTGTGTGTTGTGTGTGTTTATTTAATGAAAATAATATATTTTTTATTATTTATTTCCCTAAGCCGCCTTTTACCATTGAAATGCTGTCTGGTCATGTGGGGCGTGTTTATACAAATGTAAATATATTTACATACACAGCCCTGATTGGCGGATAGGATTGTCTAGACCAGGTGTGTCAAACTAATTCCATGGAGGGCCTAGTGTCTGCTGGTTTTTGGTTTATCCTTTCAATAAAGACATAGACAACCAGGTTAGGGGAGTTCCTTACTAATCAGTGACCTTAATTCATCAATCAAGTACAAGGGAGGAGCGAAATCCCACAGACACTCAGCCTTTTGTAGAATTAGTTTGAAACATCTGAGGTGCGTTCAGTGCGTTATGGTGATGTTGGATATGCTTTCACCTGTCCAGTGCTATTAAATCAGTGCAGGTGAAGGAAATAGGACGAGGAGAGGGAGCCATATAACTTAAGATTTAACTCCATATTTCTCTTTGTGGTTCCCCAGAGTCCTCTCAGGGACCCAGGTGTGGTTTCGTGAGCCGCTGGAGAAAGAGGCTCAGAGGACTCTAATGCCTTCTCTCAACATAGAGAAAGGCTGTGCTCCAGTCCTCTTCAATTTCCTGAGAACTTGAAGTCTAACTGATGAGTATGTCCCATATCTTTCACTAGCCTCAATTTCAACAACAGCAATCACTACACACAACCTTAACTGTACCCTTCACTCTAATCATAAGCCATGAACAAATGGCTCATGTACTTGGTAATCACTATTAATGGAATAGACACTTGTACCTAATGGCTATCTGGTGACTCCGTAACTTCATTAACACCAGTGAACACCAACTAAAATATATTTATTTTCTTATCCAGCCAATGGAGAGTGATCCAGCATGGCATGAAGAATAACAGAAGTCTCTTTAGATAGGGTTCTGGTGAAAAGTAGGGTGTCATCTGAGAGGCAAAACTTAATTAAGATATTGACAAAAACACTACACTGTTGTTGGCTACAGCTGACGTTCAAGCAGCTCTCTATGCTGTGCCTGAAGATCGTTAAGATCGTGACCCAGACGGTCCTCAAGATTCTGCTGCCGGTGCTGGCTCGTATCCTGGGGGTGAACCTGAGGAGTGGAGCCACCTCCCCAGAGTCCCAGTGCTCTCTGGCAGGGTCTGACAACTCCTCCGTCCTTAACCCGGAGGACAGAATGCTGCTGGCTCGTGAGATTAAATACTGGTCCAAGGAGCTGCTGAGGAGATGGCAGGGCAGCTCTCCTCTTTCATATCTTACTGCCTCCTCTGAAGACCTATACACCTTTGCAGAGGAGTCGTGAAGCTCTGTTTGCTGCCTTCTCTGATTCCCCCCTCATCATGGGGGTTGGATCAGGTAGGACCATCCACTAGCATGTTGAGCCACAGCATCCCAGGTACTTTGTGTTACTCTGCATCGGTCTTAGAACAGAGGACCTCTACCTACTCTTTCAGCTCATCACAGGCCTACAACAACACTGCCAGCCTGTTCACTAGGGTGATGGTGAAACAGGTCATGGAGCTTCAGCAACCCATGATGTTGACACTGGGGGACATGACGAGGTGTTGTCACACACATACAGCAGCTGACCTTCGAATGCCAAAGCCTCGCCTCGATCCTCCACTCCTTCTGGCAACATGGGCATCTCTGGAGTACTAAAAGGAGTTGATACTGACATGGAAGGAAAGGAGGTGTACATCGTCAGCAGGTCTGGCCGCCTGAGGGAGGTCTCAACCCCCCCAGACGTCAGCAGTGCCACTGTATTCCTTCTGAAGTCCAAAGATAATTTAACCTGCCTGGTCAGCATACTGGTGATAAGGCTGCTATCAAAGACTAGGCCCCCAGTCCTAGATGGACCCTCCCAATAGTCAGCAGACATGACAACATCTCCGCAGCTCATCAGACAAGTCCTGTCTGAGTTCTGCTCTGCGTCCGGCTGCTCCATGACTCCTGCGTATCCACAGGACCTGCATATCCACAGGGTGTTCAGGGGTGTAAATAAAGATGCAGAGATGGAGGCTCAGCAGAAAGGAGGGAGCTTCCTTTGTTTTCCAATGACCAAACTCAGAATCTTCAAGGTACATCAGACAGATTTGTTGTTTTTTCAATTAGGGGGTGTTATTGATGTGGGGATGATGAGACATATACAAGAGCTGCATCTGTTATTCAACACTATATTGTTGGCTTTTGGGTTAGGAAGAGTTACATTTATTTACATATTCCCTTTGTAATTTCTTTCTGTTTCAACTGATAGCATTCCAAGAGAGGACAAAAGAAGAACTGCTAGTCAGTCCAGGACCAGATTTCCTCTGCAGATGGACATTGCCACGGTAACAATATTTGAGAGCTCAACAGTAGCTAGATTTGTAGTTTTGTTTAGGTGTGTGTTAGGAACATAAATAGCAGTTGCTACAGAACAATGATAAATACATCTCTCTCATTCATTCACTCTTTGCCCCCCGCCCTCTCCTGTCTTTAGCCCCTCACATTGAGCCTCATGGTGCTGAGCCTTCAGTTCGAGACATTTCTCAGCTGGAGGAGAAGCCCAAAAAATACTCTCTCATCATCAGGGTCTTCTCAGCCATGACCAAAGGCCTGAGGAACCCATTCAAACACACCTCCAACAAGACAAAGACAGAGTGATTTGACTAGCAAGAGAGTTATTTGACAAGAGGGATCAACATACTGTTGAACTCTACCCTTTCAAAGTAAATTTCATGAAATAAATGCAAATTGTTTTACAGCATTGAGTTCCACTTGTTTAGTAACTTTTGTTACTGTTTCTACTTGCATAAAATAAGATTGAGGGATTTATAAGTGGTGCTGGACACATCTATTATAGGGTGTGAAATAAAGTAAAGTGCCAAGAGCTCATGTGAGGCATATGTGCTGATTCCAGCAATGTAACATAGACTAGAAGAATGATGACTATAGTGATGACTGTAGGCTGTGTTATCATTTTGAATTCATTAAGTACCATCGGTATCTGATGTGTCCTTCCTGTAAAGACTGTCTCTACTAAGTCAGTCACACACGCTTCCCTTGAAGATGAAAGTACGGTGAGAGGTGAAAAGGTTAGCCTGTGCCCTGTGGTTAGCTCTGCACGCTACCCTCTGCTGCTTCTCATTTCTGCTATGCCCACTTCCTGTTCAAACTATGTGACCAGAAACAGGCAGCAGCACTTTCTAAACGTATGTAGATCATTGTTTTTTCTACCCCGGAAGCAGCAGTCTATATTTTTTCTGCCATTACTACCCTAGTTGCAGTAGAAGTTGCAAGGGAATGCCATTTTCACTTGCAACATTATCATAAGCTAAGGGCACCAACTGCTGGCTGGGATAGGTATAGCTTGAGCTGATGTATGAACCAGCCCTACCAGTAGCTGCTGGTTCTTTTAAACAAACATAACAATTTGAACGAAACTCAGCTGATGACACACCTTCCTCTTATGCATTTAGAGGTCTGACTTTGAACTGATGGTATGCATGGACCACCACTGGCTATGTGTCCAAAGTTCATGAACAAGCACCAGACAGGAATACGAGTGTTTCTATTAGAACAGTACAGTATGTATCTTGATCCTGATTTGTTAGCAAGTTTGCATGCTGTAGTAGAAATCCAATACTTTTGTGCAAATCACTTTATTCATGGGTTAAACTGTGAAGTTGAAATTCATTATCCTATCCAGCCATTGATTAGCATAAGCCAGCTACATAACATAAACTAGCTATAATTCTCATCTAGATTTTTATTTTTTTACATGGGTAAACTATTTACAAAATAAAAGATGATCCCTTTAGACATCAACCGATGAATGTGTCTGGTCTGGTGTTAAACTGTTCCAATCACTCAGTGTGAAGATGAAGGTGAATGAGGAATATTATTTCTGCAGCCAATACCACAGGTAATGTGATTGATCACCCCAGAACAGCAGGTTAACCTTTAAGAAATCTCCACCAAACCACAATACCAACATAATAAAAGTAGTGTTATTAACAGCAAAGTCCTTATGATGTCCTCTGGGTAAATAGAATTATGTAGATATTTTTTCTTTCTTACTGCTATACACAACTAAATTGATAAGATAATATTTGTCATCATACAGGTTTTTGTAACACACACACAGGGAAAAAAACATTTCCTCTGTCACATTCTCACATGCAACACTCACACTCTTTCAACTCAAAGTATAACCACTACAGGATGACTTAGTAATTGTTAATAAAACATAACATTTGTAATTACATGACAGATATATGGACAGACAGTTGGGGAAAATAAGTCTTCAACAGTCTTGTGTTAAAAGGAGGGATCCCATATTGGATAAAATGTAAGACCACAGCTAAACTTCTTTCAGCTCTTCTTCTCCTGTCTCCTCTCCTCTCTCAGAGCCACCAGAAGCGGACGTAGACGATGAGCATAAGGAAGACCCCTCCGGCGGCCAGCTTAGCGTAGGTGGAGCGAGTGTTCAGGTACTTGGCATCACTTCTGTACTTCTTTGACAGGCTGGACAGATTACTGGCCTTGGAGTCCAGAGCTGGATGTGATGGGAGTGGATCCAGGTGATCAGAGAGGGAACAGAAACCAGAACAAATCTTCATTTAACACAAGTGAGAACGGCATCTGCTTCCTCTTCCTCTTAAGCACTATTCTTTATCGTCAGAGCTTGAAGAACAGTATGTAACTGAGAAGTGATACACCCTTTTATTAGTGAATCTAGTCAATTCTACCTAACATCATTTAAATTCTACCTATCATCATTCTGTTGCAATGATGTGCATTTATGCTAATGCAATAAGCCCGGCCCAAGTTAGACATTGGAGATAAGGTTTGCATAATAGAGGTGTTTCAGTTATACATCAACCTACACGAACCATTATCACTGTAAATCTATGAGAAGGAAGAACAAGAAGCAGACATTACCAGACAAGGCCTCCCCTCGTTGCAATACTTCCTCAATGTTGGCCACCATGATCCTCTGGACGTCCTGCAGCTCTGTGTTGATGCTGCCCAGGTTCCTACGGGCTCGGCTGTCTATGTACGACTTCTTGGTCTTCTGAATGTAGGTGTCTGTAGACAGAGAGGGAAAAACTCCATAAAAAAAGACAGGATTTTGAGGGTTTCTAACGATTATATATTTCATTGAATCTCACCAAACTCAATGAAGGAGTACGGCCGGGACACAGTGGGGACCTTCTTTCCGTGCTGTTCATGGAACTCTGCCTGCAGGTCTTCCAGGTAAGCAAAGGCAAGTTTTTTGGGAAAGCTTGCTTCAGACAGTACTAGGTAGACTACTCCTTTTTCTATGACGTAGCTGGAGGGAGAAACATAAGGGAAACATGAGAGTCAGTGTCTGGGATGCATAACGGTCAGTGGATACCTACTTCTTATTGCAAGTCATTACTCTTTAAAATAACATTTGAGAAAGGTGTGTTATGACTAGTGTTTTGCCAAGAGTGTGTGTGTGTGGCGTCTTTCCTCTAACTGGTTTGAACTCACTGAAAGGACATGGAGCCTGCCTCTAATGTGCAACGTGTGGGACTCTGGTCATTCAGTTTCCTGAACAGCTGTTTAGCCTGGCTCTGGTACTGTTGCAGGTCCCGACCCACCTAAACACAGGACAGAGCAAGAGGTTAAGCATCCACGCAGATTTAAGAGGACACTGAACCAATGATTGGGATCAATATAAATGTTATCAACAAAGAAGCGGGTGGTCTGGGTATGGTAAAAACAGTAACACTGACACATCACAGGAACAATGTGTATGATTTCCAAGCATCGGTTACAATGCAGAGAAAAGACCAACCTTCTCACTTCCCTTTGGGAGAGCAGATAGGAAAGCAAGGGAAACATGTTATAGTTCTTCCAGCATGTGGCAAGACTCACATGTAGCCTATGGCAACTCAGCAATACATTGCTGCCTTATTCGCTACAAGGTGAATAATTTGAATATGGGAGTACAGTAGACAGTCACAAATCGCAAATTAACTCGAGAGCAGAATTTACTCAATGGACTTACTTGATTAACCAAAGGTGATAAAGTATTACAACATCATTCAAAATGGTAAGCAAATGGCTCACGAGCTGACTAAGCCTGGCCATTAGTAGCTACAGATTGTTACACCAGATAATGTGATTTAACCGAAGATTTTTGGTATCCATTACTAGGAGTTACAGGATAGGTACTGTTTGGTGTAGCACAAAGAATTTTCGACCAACCTTATCTTGGTGATACTGTCTTCGTACTCGATTCGTGGAAACAGGAGTATCATAAAATGGCCATGTCCAGTTGCACGGGGTCCGTTTGAATTAAGAAAATGCTCCTTTATTAAAATAAATAATTTTTGCTCCATTAAGTAATCCAACAACGTGTACACCGCCATCTTGTCTATTTCAAGTCTTCTCTCATTGATCAAGACATGCGGCACTTTGGGGTGTTCATCCAACTGTCTCGATCAATGAGAGAACAGACAAGATGGCAGTGTTGGATTACTTCATGGAGCAAAACAAGTATTTATTTGAATAACGGAGCATTTTCTAAATTCAAACGGACCCCGTGCAACTGGACATGGCCATTTTATGAGACTCCTGTTTCCACGACTCGAGGACGAAGAAAGTATCGTCAAGCTAAGGTTGGTCGAAAATGATCTGTGTTACACCAAACAGTACCTATCCTGTAACTCAATGGATACCAAATAGCTTTGGTTAAACACATTATCTGTAGCTAGGCCATTAGATGATTAGCTGCCTGTCACTGACACAGCTGGAATAAGTCCATCTGGATTTCTATGTCAGACACAATCACGCACATATAATATGATCTTATTATGAAGAATGTAGGTCTGCATAGATAGATGACAAAGTCCATATTGCACACGTAGCAAACTATCGACAAACTATTTGCCAATAGTAGGTGGGTCGACAGATAGCTTGAATTGCTAGTGCTAGCTAAGATACATGGCATTAATAGGGAAAACCAGAAATATGAACCTGTTCGTCCTCCTGCATTGAGGCGGCAAGCGGCAGTCCATCCGCCAACCGAGCGATCATTGTCAGCAGCACCATTTTGGAACTCAAATGTGTTATTGTCCACCACTTGCGATCGCCACAGTGTTGCTAAGTGAAAGCTAATGACAGGCAGCAGCTAGATTGACAACACAACACTCCGTACGCGCTGAGCTGGCCGGAAACGCTAGTGCTTTGGGTGTCGCTCAAATCTGACCGTCAATCCCAGACAGAAATGCCAAAGGTTCCGCGTTACTCCCTCACTTGTTAAAATCGAATAGCCTCTGGGATGAAATAAAATGACCGCTATGCATAGAATATAAATCACGACTCATGTTATTGAAAAAAACCCTGTAATAGAACAACGAAAAGAAAAAGTGGGGTCTATTGTTTCCTTTATTATGAAAATATGCACTGAAATACGTGACATCCGGTATTCGAAGACTGCCACAGTAGCCTATTCCTCCCAACACATTATCAGTGACGTTTTAGAATTTAGTTAAATGGTTTTAGTTACATTTAGGCTACGTTGCTCAAAAAAGCAACTGATGCCATGATTTCAGAAATAACAACTGTAGTCAATGTGTGAGCTATAATGAATATAAAATTGCCCATGCAGTCCATCAGCTATTAACCAGTGGAGTCCAGCTCTGTGTGATGTCCTGGCACGTTCCTTTTGCCTGTCTACCCCTTCTCTCTTCTTTCTCTTTGCCTGTCAACCCATCATCTCATCACACTTTGCTGCCTAAGCAGTGCCTAACCCTACACACACTGGTACCGGTGGCAACAAGCCCCTGGAATACCATCCCTGCTCTCCACACGGTGGACTTGCTGGCCAGGAGGACAGGTCGGGGGTGCCAAGGGGCATTTATCAAAGTTGCATGTGCAGATAGCTGGCACCAGGGGGCAGCATTGGCCATGAGGAATGTAAGGCTCAGTGAGGAAGGAATCAGCAGGGCAGGAAGGGACTTGGACCTTAGGGCAGTTAACATTGCTGCAGCGAGCTCTCTCTGAGATAGAGACATGTGGAGAGAAAGAGGAACAGAGATGAATGTACAGATGTTAACGTTTAGTTTTTGAATACCATTTTCTTTGCAAAATATAGATTTACTCTTGTGTTGCAGCAGTTGGTTATGATTTTTGTGGTGAAACTCACGCAACAGGTTTTCACAGGTTTCTTCAGAGAGTAATGGTGTGGGTGAGTAGCAGCTCCTCTCCATACACACACACTGGCTTCCCTGCAGCTCACAGCCCCATTCCACACATGTCTGCTCCCCTTGTTCCTCCTTCATCTCACTCCAGAGCTCATCCCCTGGAAAATAGATAGCCATGTTTCAATCACATGCCTAAAACTCCAAAAGCACATACAGCTGGAGCTTATTCTACAAAACATTGAAAGGCTACAGTACTTTCCAACCATATCAGTGTGTGTGTGTATGTGGGTGCCCGTATACATGGGTGCCTAGGTCTATATATCTCACCTCTCATTGTTTTGAGACATTGGTCCAAACTGTGGTAGGAGAAAGCAGTGTGGCAAGTCTGTAGGGAGTAGCAGTCACATGCCCCAGCCCTGACGTTGCAGCCCCACATCCATGGGCATAGGGGGTCTGCCAGGGGGTCTGCCTGATGCCCAAGTAACACTGGAACACGACAGGGGAGAGTCACAGACAGGGTGAGATTACTGGGATGAGATAACGAGATAGTAAAGGTAACATTTTATTTGAAGATCTGTTATAATATATGTCAAATCTAATTTTATGTCACATACTTCGTAATCTAACAGTGAAACGCTTACTTACGGACCCTTCCCAACAATGTAGCGAGAAAAAATGAGAAATAATAGAAAAATAATGAATGATAACTTGGCTATATACACAGGGTACCAGTACTGAGTCGATGTGCAGTGGTACAAGGTAATTTAGGTAGATACAGTGAGCTCCAAAAGTATTGGGACAGTGACAATTTTGTTGTTGTTTTGGCTCTGTACTCCAGCATTTTGGATTTGAAATGATACAATGACTGACGTTAAAGTGCAGACTGTCAGCTTTAATTTGAGGGTATTTCCAGCAATATCGGGTGAACTGTTTAGAAATTACAGCACTTTTTGTACATAGTCCCCCCCATTTTAGGGGACCAAAAGTATTGGGACAATACACTTATGTGTATTAAAGTAGTAAAAAGTGAAGTATTTGGTCCCATATTCATAGCAGGCAATGACTACATCAAGCTTGTGACTACACATTTGTTGGATGCATTTCCTGTTGGTTTTGGTTGTGTTTCAGATAATTTTGTGCCCAGAATAATTGAATGGTAAATAATGTATTGTGTCATTTTGGAGTCACTTTTTTATTCTAAATAAGAATAGAATATGTTTCTAAACACTTCTACATTAATGTAGATCTGTGCATCTGTAACTTTCTCACTCATCATTATTGAAATGATGTAGCGCCTTGCGGTCAGATGCCAAGCAGTTGCAATACCAAGCGGTGATGCTGCCAGTCACGATGCTCTCAGTGGTGCAGCTGTATAACTTTTTGAGGATCTGAGGGCCCATGCCGAATCTTTTCAGCCTCCTGAGGGGAAATAAGTGTTGTCGTGCCCTCTTCACGACTGTGTTGGTGTGTGTGGACCACGATAATTCCTGAGTGATGTGGACACCGAGGAACTTGAAGCTCTCGACCTGCTCCACTACAGCACCGTCGATGTGGATGGGGGGCATGCTCGGCCCTCCATTTCCTGTAGTCCACAATCAGCTTATTTGTCTTGCTGACGTTGAGGGAGAGGTTATTGTCCGGGCACCACACTGCCAGGTCCCTGACCTCCACCCTGTAGGTTGTCTCATCGTTGTCGGTTATCAGGCCTACCACCGCCGTGTCATCGGCAAACTTAATGATTGTGTTGGAGTCGTGCACGGCCACGCAATCGTGTGTGAACAGGGAGTACAGGAGGGGACTAAGCCCGTACCTCTGAGGGGCCACTGTGTTGAGGGTCAGCGTGGCAGATGTGTTGTTACCTACCCTCACCACCTGGGGGCGGCCCGTCAGGAAGTCCAGGATCCAGTTGCAGAGGGAGGTGTTCAGTCCCATGGTCGTTAGCTTAGTGATGAGTTTGAGTTGAATGGGGAGCTGTAGTCAATGAACAGCATTCTCACGTAGGTGTTCCTTTTGTCCAGGTTGGAAAGGGCAGTGTGGAGTGCAATAGAGATTGCGTCATCTGTGGATCTGTTGGGGCGGTATATGAATTGGAGTGGGTCCAGGGTGTCTGGGATGGTGGTGTTGATGTGAGCTACAAATGTGAGTGCAACGGGGCGATAGTCATTTAGATTATTATTTGGTGTTCTTGGGAACAGGGACTATGGTGGTCTGCTTCAAACATGTAGGTATTACAGACTGGGTCAGGGAGAGGTTGAAAATGTCAGTGAAGACACTTTCTGAGTATGCGTCATGGTAATCCGAATTGTTGTCGTGGAAATTGTAATCAATAATGAGCAGAGAAAAGGTCAATCACCAATCAGGATATTACTTTATTCGAAACGTATTAATAAGGTAGTAAGTGAGGCTGGTCGACCCAACACTCTTGAGTGTTGGGCCGAGAGCTCTGACATACAGACAATACAAATATATTTTATAGCAAAGATACACCCTCTCAGTCTACATGACAAACAGCAGATGTGTGGAATGAGTCAAAAGGTTAGGATTTGTATGAACGAAATGAATAATTCACAGCAGACAGTATCTGCGGTGAAGACTGTTCTCATTGTATGGGAACCAGGGTTTGGCCCCCAAGATCCATACCCGAGCCATCTCTCCCTGGTACCTTACATTACACAAACACCAATTCAGTATATGAAAATGCAGGCTCAGTCAGACCAGAGACATCTCCCTTTCACACACTACTAATCATAGAATGGAATGTGGCTGATGGTTTTATCACCTAGCCATTCATAAATCAATTGTCAGCTCCATATACCCCTATCTCGAGTAAAACCCATGTCCTTGACCACACGCCTAGACTAGCTGCAGGGAGCTGGAGTAGAAACCATCCCTTTACAAAAACACAGCATTAGTAGAACAGTATATAATTGTTAACTATTAATATTAAACAAAGCAGGTAAACATGTTACATGTAAATTTTTCTCTCACAATGTTAACCTGTTTAAAGGTCTTACTCACATCGGCTACGGAGAGCGTGATCACACAGTCGTCCGGAACAGTTGGTGCTCTCATGCATGGTTTAGTGTTGCTAGCCTTGAAGCGAGCATAGAAGGTATATAGTTAGTCTGGTAGGCTCGTGTCACTGGACAGCTCGCGGCTGGGTTTCCCGTTATAATCCGTGATAGTTTGCAAGCCCTGCCACATCCGACGAGCATCAGAGCCGGTGTAGTAGGATTCGATCATAGTCCTGTATTGACGCTTTGTCTGTTTGATGGTTCGTTGGAGGGCATAGCGGGATTTCTTATAAGCGTCCGGATTAGTGTCCCACTCCTTGAAAGTGGCAGATCTAGCCTTTAGCTCAGTGCGGATGTTGCCTGTAATCCATGGCTTCTGGTTGGGATATGTATGTACGGTCACTGTGGGGACGATGTCGTCGATGCACTTATTAATGAAGCCGGTGACTGATGTGGTAAACTCCTGAATTCCATCAGGTGAATCCCGGAACATATTTCAGTCTGTGCTAGCGAAACAGTCCTGTTGTTTAGCATCCGCTTCATCAGAACCCCTTCCGTATTAAGCGTGTGTGTCACTGGTACTTCCTGTTTTAGTTTTTGCTTGTAAGCAGGAATCAGAAGGATAGAGTTATGGTCAGATTTACCAAATGGAGGGCGAGGGAGAGCTTTGTATGAGTCTCTGTGTGTGGAGTAAAGGTGATCTAGAGTGTTTTCGCCTCTAGTTGCACAGGTGACATGCTGGTAGAAATGAGGTAAAACAGATTTCAGTTTCCCTGCATTCCCTGCGTCGCCTCTGGATGAGCATTTTCTTGTTCGCTTATGTACCTATACAGCTCGTTGAGTGCGGTCTTAGTGCCAACATCGGTTTGTAGTGGTAAATAGATAGCTATGAAAAATATAGATAACTCTCTTGGTAAATAGTATGGTCTACAGCTTATCATGAGGTATTCTAACTCTGACGAGCAGAACCTCGAGACTTCCTTAATATTAGAGATAGCGAACCAGGTGTTAACAGAGACACACCCCTCCCCCCTAACCTTACCCGACGCCACCGTTCTGTCCTGCCGATGTATAGAAAAAACAGCTAAATTTATATGTAGATATGTAATAAATGTTAATATGTAGGTTATAGGCAGACCTACACAGTCACCTATTAACAAATGAATGCTGTTATATAATACACAACCCTGCACCACTTTCATCACTGGTGGCTGTTACACAATGCTTAAATTCCATTAACAATAGAATTTGTACAAGGGCCGTACCTCAATGTGCCCTCTTAAGCCCCATCTGTTAGAATCAATCCTCTTACCTTTGCACACGCCAGTGTGTGGGGGTCTGGCAGGGCTGCGTCCGGTGAACAGGGTGCAGGTGAGGTCTCTGTCACAGTAGCCTTTCTCCCAGTGTGGGCCTCCACACACCTGGCCCATCTGACGGGCACACTGTGGGCAGCAGCCACATGGCTCAGTGACGTGTCCCCCAGGGCAGACTCGCCTGGCACTGGGACACAGTACAACAGAGCATGGCACACAGCCTGGGGCAAGGGGAGCTATGGGAGATAGAGACAATATGATGCACTGCACGCACCTCTGTAATTAGTTATAATACTCTAATACCATTGTCATAGCCAAAGTAGAGTTGAATAGTGGACGCAAATAACAATTTATCTAACTGCTTTTCAAATACACTCATGAATAAAACAAATAAAAGTACAAAAATGGAACACACATATTAGGAATAGTAACAGGTAGAGACTCACAGCTGCAGAGTCCAGCACTGGGTGTTTGCTCCTTGTCAGCGGGCTTCACAGACACACATGTGAGGTTGGTGTCACACTGGCCCTCCACTGCCCCTCCACACACTTCCCCCTTACCTAGAATAACCTGTCCCCGCAGCTGTGAGGGGCTACACCCCAACAAGAACCCCCAGAGCCCAAGATAAACCCAAACCATTGCTCTATTATCAATAACCCAACTTACTGCACCAAAGCATGGGCTCAAAGAATGCTTCAGTTCCTCTGAGAGACTTCTGAACGTCATGTGTTCCTCCTCCCACTGTCCTTCATTCAGATTCCTGACCAACCATCTCTTTTCTTATCCCAGCCAAAAACACACACCCCTCTCCCTCCCTCTCATTCCCTCTGGCTCCGTCTGTCCCAGTCTCTCTCTCCGGTACACATTTCATCAAATTCCAATAGATTTCACAACAGCTATGCTTCAATAGCCTCAAAGAAACAACCATTTCCAAAGTTTCATTCTGTCCAAGAGTTACAGACAAGGTGATATTGTTATTGAGTAGGAAGGCTGGCTTGGTCTCTCCTCTCACATCAGAAGAGTGAAAGTGTGTATGATCACGGCTGGAATGTGTAGTATAGTCAATAGAGGATATGGAAAGGGACAGGGGAGTAGAGGGGGAGGGAGGAAGGGAGCAACTAAGACCACAGAGAGACTGCAGACACCACCGCCAAGAGGGACTGACACGGACAAAGCACTTCTCTGTCTGACTGAGGCAGGCAGGCACGCACACACAGGTCCAAACCTCTGATGAGATCATTCTGCTTTTTGGTTTACAAATACATGAGATCTACAACTGAAGTCATACTCTGCAGAGCCCAGAGTCATAACAGAGAAAGAGAGATAAACAAATTAACATGAAACTTGGGAGAAAACAGGTGAAAATCTATATGGCATAACATTCCAAAACAAGTAAAAACGGTAGATCTTTTATTTCATATGCAATTAGAAATGTCTAAGAGTGTTTACAAAAATGATTCAAGTTTTGTTTATATTTCCCTTTCACTCGCATACAAGTTCAGTTATACTTTAATTCATTTTAAATCAATGGCTTTTTAAAAAGATAATATCAAGAAAGAGTGCAATTCACACTTTTGAGGTCAGTGGCAATTCAACTTAATAGATGTACTGATTTACTCAGGGTTAGGTTACAGTCTATTACAGTACTTATTTGAAAAGGTATCAACCACACAAAAATGCATTGTTGTTCCGGTAAACGACAAAGAAGAAAGTAAAAACAAATACAGTATCAATAAAACAACCCTGCAGGTCTCACTAAAAACAATATAGATTAAATATCAGAAGCCAATTTTAAGATACAAGGTGCTAAAAGTCCCTCAGTAACTCCTCTAGCCAATCTGTACAATGCTCTTAATGCCCTACTACATGATGCTTGATTGCACCTCTGGCATGACTAACTGTGTCTTTTGGCATTTTGGGCTGCTGGCAATGGAATGTTTCTTTACATTTGAATACACGTGCAGGCGATAGTCAGTTAAATCAAACGTATTGGGTACAGTGTTAGTGTTTGCTGTTCCTCCTTATTAAAGGTTAGAAGCAGGAGAACAGAATAGGAGATTTTCGAGTTGACAACTTGGAGAGGCTAGAAAAACAAAGAAACACATGACTGTTTTAACTGACGCTGTAATGCTCCCAGGCTGGCCTATAAAGCCAAGTCTCCATGCTGCTGTCATTGCTCCCCCAGGATCTGCTGGAGTCTCTGTGCTATGGAGTGGGCCTTGGGCTGGGGGCAGGGCAGCAAGGGCAGGCGGGGAGGACCCAGAGCCAATCCTGACACCTCACTCATCAGCTGCTTATTTACAGCCAAGTCAAACCCTGCACACACAAACACAATGTATCACATCACAACATGCACATACTCACTCTAGGTTCATTGTAATCTCACAGATGACACACATGGGAATGACACTGTGTTTTGTGGGTGAAAATGTTGCACTGACTGACCCATCTTTATTGCATAACAGAGGATATCTTGCACCTGGAACTGCAAAGAGAGATCAGAGACATTAATCAATCAGATTAACACAGATTTAGGAAAACTACAATGATGTCCTGTGTTGTTGTTTTGTCTGAGGCTGAAAAGGAGGTGTACCTGTAAAGTCCTGGCATTGGGGAGGTCCCCTTTATGAAAGGCTGACATGAGTCTGTTCACACTGCTGCCCAGGTAGTTGTACGTGCTGGGGAGAGAGTGGCATTCCTAAGGCATACAGTGCATTCGGAAAGTATTCAGACCCCTTGACTTTTTCCACATTTTGTTACGTTACAGCCTTATTCTAAACTATTTTTTTATTTATTCTCTCATCAATCTACACACTATACCCCATAATGATATTTGCAGATTTATAAAAAAAATAACAGAAATACCTTATTTACATAAGTATTCAGACCCTTTGCTATGAGACTTGAAATTGAGCTCTGATGCATCTTGTTTCCATTGATCATCCTTGAGATGTTTCTACAACATGATTGGAGTCCACCTGTGGTAAATTCAATTGATTGAACATGATTTGGAAAGGCACACACCTGTCTATATAAGGTCCCACAGTTGACAGTGCATGTCAGAGCAAAACCAAGCCATGAGGTCGAAGGAATTGTCCGTAGAGCTCCGAGACAGGATTGTTCGAGGCACAGATCTGGGGAAGGGTACCAAAACATTTCTGCATCATTGAAGGTCCCCAAGAACACAATGGCCTCCATCATTCTTAAATGGAAGACGTTTGGAACCACCAAGACTCTTCCTAGAGCTGGCCGCCCGACCAAACTGCACCTAAAGGACTCTTAGACCATGAGAAACAAGATTCTCTGGTCTGATGAAACCAAGAATGCCAAGCATCACGTCTGGAGGAAACCTGGCACCATCCCTACGGTGAAGCATGGTGGTGGCAGCATCATGCTGTGGGGATGTTTTTCAGTGGCAGGGACTGGGAGACTAGTCAGGATCGAGGGAAAGATGAACAGAGCAAAGTACAGAGAGATCCTTGATGAAAACCTGCTCCAGAGCGCCCAGGACCTCAGACTGGGGTGAAGGTTCACCTTCCAGCAGGACAACAACCCTAAGCACACATCCAAGACAACAAAGGAGTGGCTTCGGGACAAGTTTCTGAATGTCCTTGAGTGGCCAAGCCAGAGCCCGATAGGATCTGCAGAAAAGAATGGGAGAAACTCCCCAAATACATGTGTGCCAAGCTTGTAGCGTCATACCCAAGAAGACTTGAGGCTGTAATAGCTGCCAAAGGTGCTTCAACAAAGTACTGAGTAGAGAGTCTGAATACTTATGTAAATGTGATATTTCCGTTTTTATTTTTAATACATTTGCAAACATTTCTAAACCTGTTTTTGCTTTGTCATTATGGGTATTGTGTGTAAATTGATGAGGGGGAAAACTATTTAATCCATTTTAGAATAAGGCTGTAACGTAACAAAATGTGGAAAAAGTCAAGGGGTCGGAATACTTTCCGAATGCACTTTAAGTGTCTGCCCAATGGACTGACTTCACACAGAGATCATAGTTCTAAGGGTTAAAGTATGATAAAATGGAGACCAACCTGCCTACGGCCCCATTGGCACCCATTGCCAAACCTCCTAGCAGTTGCTGTTAAAAGGGTAAAACATTATTTAATTAGATAAACATAACATAATGAACATGACTTTCCTCTAAGGCAGTGGTTCCCAACTCCAGTCATTGAGTAACCCCAACAGTACACAATACAAATGTGTACTGTTGGGGATACTTGAGGACTGGAGTTGGGAAACACTGCTCTAATGATAGGTTATCTTCATACTGACAGAGAGAGACAAGCAAAGACAGGGAGGAGAAAGATGTGCTGACCTCATCTATGCCATATAGGAGTGACCAGTGAGATGGACTATAGCTGACACACTGGCCAAAGTCCATCATGTCACTGCCACTGAACTTCAGCCCCTGGAACGAGGGGATCTGCTTCTCTATCCCCTCCAACACATCCCTTGATCGCACTGACAGGAGAAAAGAGTGGCTGAGAATCAACATCCTTGTAATTCAACTCCTGAATATTAGAGTATCACATGCAGAGGTGCATCAAGAAGTGTCCGACTGTATCATATCAACTGAAAGCACAGTACTCACAGTTGACCCCGGTCACAGCTGGAATGTGATAATAGTAGAAGGGCACAGCTGGGGCGGCTGCAGCCACTTCCTGGAGAAACATCCTCAGAGCATCTGAGTTCAGTGGAAGGAAACACAGGAAGGAAAGGAAATCCCTACAGTGAATTCCTCTCCAACATTGACACGAGTGGAATGTCATAGTCATACTTTAATGAGCAAACAGAACCACAATTATACATCACAACCGATTAGGCTCAACGGACCTGCAGTGGCGGGTTTGAAGAAAGAGGGGGAGATCACTGCTATCCCATCAGCTCCTATTTCAGCAGCATGGCGTGCCTGCATGGGGGACACAGAGACAGTACGACACCTTAGTTACACTGCGGGCTGTTCCAAGGCCTTGTGCTGAGTTTAGACTAGTTATGGGTAGCAAGGAGTACCAGCAGGTTGTGGCAGGGATGACTCACCAGCTCCTGGGAGTCCTTCAGACTCATGCAGCCCACGTGCACTATCACCTGCTCCAGCCTATGAAGACACAGCAAAGTGTGCCAAGAAGCCAGCAAGGCTTAATCAGTGACTCATTCACACGGAGACAGTATTGCCACATACACTGAGTATAGCAAACATTAGGAACACCTTCCTAATATTGAGTTGCAAACCCCCCCCTAAGAACAGACTGAATTCGTTGGGGCATGGACTCGAAAGCATTCCACAGGGATGCTGGCCCATGTTGACTCCAATGCTTCCCACAGTTGTGTCAAGTTGGCTGGATGTCCTTTGGGTGGTGGACCATTCTTGATACACACGGGAAACTGTTGAGCATGAAAAACCCAGCAGCGTTGCAGTTCTTGACACAAACAGGTGCGGCTGGCACCTACTACCATACCCCGTTCAAAGGCACTTTGTCTTGCCCATTCACCCTCTGAATGGCACACATACACAATCCATGTCTCAATTGTTTCAAGGCTTAAAAAAGCCTCCTGCCCTTCATTGAAGTGGATTTAACAAGTGACATCAATAAGGGATCATAGCTTTCACCTCATGGAAAGAGCAGGTTTAAAAAAAAAAATTGTATACTCAGTGTATAAACCATATTACGCATATTTGATAACCACATATTCTGTATTACGTACTTGTTGGGTTTAAAACTTGCAAGAATGGCATTTCACTGTACTTGTGCATGTGACATTAAAACTTGAAACATTTTACTTACTTGTTCTTGCCCTTATGACACCATTCCTCTGCAAGCAGCTTCCTCTCTTCCACAGTGAGAGACATACCTTCTCCTGTCGTGCCATTTACTGGTGTAGGGGTTGGGCAAAAGGACAGAGGCATAACAAACAGCTGTGCATGAGCTTGGTAGGAAAGTGATAGCACAGCTATGACTTTGCCCAGATCTAATGGGTGAAGATGAGCAATAACCGTGTAAGGAGGAAGCCAGACCCGGCGCCAGGATAAAGTGACTAAGGGGGCAGTTGAAATCGGCTAGGCGGCTACATTTTTGGGGGTTCTTGCATTAGAATTATATTGAATTCTGCTTAGATCACGCTATACCACAACAAACAAAGTTCAAATGCAGACTCATTGAGTGCTTTTGAAGTGACAGGTTTGAGCGAAATCCGTAGCCTATCTCAGCTGCGCTGTATCAGTGTAAAATAGGGTCCTTCTAGCAGTGGTAAGGCCAAAGATTCAAGGAGGTAGAGGTGGAAATGAGTGTTGGAATTATTTACACAGCGCTGGTGTTTCAAAGATGACGCTGATATTTACAAATATATATAAAAAATTCGGACTTCAAAATGTCAGCATTCAAAAGAAAAACCCTCTCATCAGGCAAAACCTGTGGGGTCCAGCACAGGTTGGGTCCAGCAGGCTCAGATACAGCCTCCCCTTGGGTTACCCAAAAGTGAACTAACTAGAACATCCCCAAACGGGCACTTAAATACATTTGGCAACACCTATTCTTGGCACACAGGCCAGGTATATCTATGCGCATTCACACAACATTACACATGACTGCGAAACCAGACACCTGCTCTTCAAACAAAGACAACGAAGAAATTGACAATAAACTGGTAAATGCAATTAAATAAAACAATAGTAAGTGTTGCGCAGTTTGTGAGCTCTCCAAACAACGTGTTCTCTTGTAAAATTTCCGTAACCATACATTCTAAATTAATGGGGGAGTATGTTGGGATTAACTTTGCAGATGAATATAGTGGGGGAAAAAAGTATTTAGTCAGCCACCAATTGTGCAAGTTCTCCCACTTAAAAAGATGAGAGAGGCCTGTAATTTTCATCATAGGTACACGTCAACTATAACAGACAAATTGAGATTTCTTTTCTCCAGAAAATCACATTGTAGGATTTTTAATGAATTTATTTGCAAATTATGGTGGAAAATAAGTATTTGGTCACCTACAAACAAGCAAGATTTCTGGCTCTCACAGACCTGTAACTTCTTCTTTAAGAGGCTCCTCTGTCCTCCACTCGTTACCTGTATTAATGGCACCTGTTTGAACTTGTTATCAGTATAAAAGACACCTGTCCACAACCTCAAACAGTCACACTCCAAACTCCACTATGGCCAAGACCAAAGAGCTGTCAAAGGACACCAGAAACAAAATTGTAGACCTGCACCAGGCTGGGAAGACTGAATCTGCAATAGGTAAGCAGCTTGGTTTGAAGAAATCAACTGTGGGAGCAATTATTAGGAAATGGAAGACATACAAGACCACTGATAATCTCCCTCGATCTGGGGCTCCACGCAAGATCTCACCCCGTGGGGTCAAAATGATCACAAGAACGGTGAGCAAAAATCCCAGAACCACACGGGGGGACCTAGTGAATGACCTGCAGAGAGCTGGGACCAAAGTAACAAAGCCTACCATCAGTAACACACTACGCCGCCAGGGACTCAAATCCTGCAGTGCCAGACGTGTCCCCCTGCTTAAGCCAGTACATGTCCAGGCCCGTCTGAAGTTTGCTAGAGTGCATTTGGATGATCCAGAAGAGGATTGGGAGAATGTCATATGGTCAGATGAAACCAAAATAGTACTTTTTGGTAAAAACTCAACTTGTCGTGTTTGGAGGACAAAGAATGCTGAGTTGCATCCAAAGAACACCATACCTACTGTGAAGCATGGGGGTGGAAACATCATGCTTTGGGGCTGTTTTTCTGCAAAGGGACCAGGACGACTGATCCGTGTAAAGGAAAGAATGAATGGGGCCATGTATTGTGAGATTTTGAGTGAAAACCTCCTTCCATCAGTAAGGGCATTGAAGATGAAACGTGGCTGGGTCTTTCAGCATGACAATGATCCCAAACACACCGTCCGGGCAACAAAGGAGTGGCTTCGTAAGAAGCATTTCAAGGTCCTGGAGTGGCCTAGCCAGTCTCCAGATCTCAACCCCATAGAAAATCTTTGGAGGGAGTTGAAAGTCTGTGTTGCCCAGCGACAGCCCCAAAACATCACTGCTCTAGAGGAGATCTGCATGGAGGAATGGGCCAAAATACCAGCAACAGTGTGTGAAAACCTTGTGAAGACTTACAGAAAACGTTTGACCTGTGTCATTGCCAACAAAGGGTATATAACAAAGTATTGAGAAACTTTTGTTATTGACCAAATACTTATTTTCCACCATAATTTGCAAATAAATTCATTAAAAATCCTACAATGTGATTTTCTGGAGAAAAAAAATCTCAATTTGTCTGTCATAGTTGACGTGTACCTATGATGAAAATTACAGGCCTCTCTCATCTTTTTAAGTGGGAGAACTTACACAATTGGTGGCTGACTAAATACTTTTTTCCCCCACTGTATATATTTCAAGGGGCATTTAAAAACATTGACAAATAATTGGCACAATGAAACAAATAGTGAGCATGAATTGGTGGGAGTCAGTCCACAATAGTGGAGAGAGATGTGCCTATAGCGCGTCTTTGCCACACACCCCTCCCCTTATTCTGGTCTTGACATTTAAAAATGATGCTTGAGACACGTTCCTCACACATAAGCAGTAACCTCAAATATTGTCAGGACGTAGCAGTGGGCATTTTCCCTTCAACTGAAATCATTACAGTTCAGTATTTCTAACCACCCCCCTTAAAACACACACACTACCCAAACTAATGGACATGTGACAGCAAGGCAGAATGGCACATTCCAAACGAGCACTGGGTACATGATACATATTGACCAACATGGTATGTCCATTTGGTGAATGTGGATTGTCGGAGCAAATAAAGGAACATCATAGCAGTTGCCCCGAGGAAGATTAACACTTTGCCCAGTCCCTAAACACTGTCCACTAACCGTTTGGCTATGGGGGGGCACAAACTTCCCCGCATGAGCCTTTGGTGAAACAGGTAAGGGAGCATTCTCTCCCAAACGATGCACAGTGGACACTGGGGTTGTCTCCAGACCCCCCCAGCAGTGACACAACCTCCGTGCCACACCCAGGAACATTTTGCGGTGCAGTTATTTTCTCTCCAAGCTCGGGGAGAGGGTCAGAGCACACCCTCTCCTCTCCAGGCTCCGGAGAGAGCTCAGTCATAATCAATTCAGTGTCAGTCAATGTCGGGATGAAAACCTCACACCCCCCATCATAGGGCTCCTGCAGAGCGCCCCCTATAGGAACAGCAGAGGAGCAGGAAGGAGACTGTTCGGCCTCCAACACAGCGTCCTCCTTATTATTTTAGGTAACTTTTAACTTGACCCCGCCCTTATGAATAAAACATTACAGGCGGAGGCATATCACATTATTCACTTATCCTACCAGAGATGAGAATAGTTTTTTCACGCTTTTTACAGAAACCCAAAGGAGTCATACCTAACCACCCCCCTACACACACCACGCCGCGCTCTGTCCATTGTGCTGACACAGTGCAGCTGATCTTTTCTTTGCGCCAACCTGTCACTCAATCATTTGAAGTTTTATATACTGTAGGGACATAACACTGAGGGGGCACAAGTTTGAACTGAGGGGGATAACCCTCATGGAGCTGGGTACGGAGGAAGCTCTTACCAAATATACTCTTAACACCTTGTTGCTCTAACAGGTAGTCAATGTAGGGTCTGATCTCTGAAAGGTTGATTTCACTGTGGAGAGAGAGAGAAAGATTGGATAAAGAGTACAATAAGTTTAAGAATGTGAAGTCAATAACAGCTCTAATCATAAATGCATACATAACATGACCCATAAAAGAAGTCAGATCACCTACCCTTCAGGAGTGAGCGGTGTAAATGTGGCAGCTACAAGCCCAGTGGCCTTCCTGCCAACAACGGGAGTCATGGCTGAGTGAGAGAAAATATGCTGACTGTGCATGGTTGGTTGGTTGGGGGTTGGGGGGGGGGGGGGGGATCTGTTCATTTCCTGAATTGAATTGAATCCTGTACTACAAAAGAGTACCACCGGGCAAAAACTGCTTGAATTAACATTGTTTCCACATCATTTCAAACAAAAACAATCTATGTGATTAAATGTAATCAACATGGAAAACTCATTGGATTTGCAAAAAGTCATCAATGTAAGGGCATTTCATATTTTTTTCACCTACATCCAATGACATGGTGGCATTGTTGTTGATTTCACGTTCAATTCACAATAGTTGACAACTCAACCAAATGTAAATGTAAACTAGACGTTGAACTGATGTCTGTGCCCAGTGGGTACAGTAGAATTCTGCACTACAACATGAAAACAACCATGGAATGGTTGATATGAAAATTATTCAAAGCTTTACAATAACAGGTTGACTCTTCAAACTACATTCAGCCTAGTGACTTTCCCCTAAAACTTACACCAACATGCCAAGCAAACAGTGAGCTATGGTATTGCCACTGACCCTGTAAATAACTTAACTTACTTACTTTCTCGTGTACTTCTTATTTCTATTTATCGTGTGTTTTTGTTCTACTTTACTCTATAGTACTACGGGTATTGATTACTGCTTTGTTGGGAAAGAGTTTGCAAGAACGGCATTTCACTGTCCTTGTGCACGTGACAATACAACCTGAAACTATCAGTCATGTTAGGCATGCAATGCATACAGTACTAAATATTTTGTTACCCGTTTTGTTTGTTCCTCCAGTAGATCCTGAACAAATAGGTGGAAATATGATGCACGCCTTTATTTCGTTTTCCTGTTGAAGAGAGCCTGAGTTACCTTCTTCCTCTGCCAGAGAGTTTTCAACATGGATTTGACGTCAAAGCTCAAGGAGGTCATGTGAGACAAGACGTTGCACATGAGTTCGCTAGGCTAGATGGGAAATGTAGTGAATACCAAAAATGGTGGGATATTCGTTCCAATGTCTGACAAACGTCCACCTTTATGTATATTGCCATCACATTTTTTAAGGCATATTCTCTCCAAATGTATAACGACTGAAGTAATGTACCTTGAATAATACTGCATAACAAAACTACAACATGTAGGTGTTGGGCGGGGCTGAGGGAGGCACCTACATCCTAACCGGATGCGGATGTTGGTGACGTTTATCTTAACAGCAACGTCTGCTTTTATTTCACGGCTAGCTGGCGGCTAAAGGTTCATGCTCAAGGCAACAGAGAACGACCAAATATAACAAGAAGATCAGAAGACACTGCCCGGGGTGCTTTGCTCAACGGCTGAAATGGACTCGGCACCTTCCCTACTTCGCTTGTTTTCGGACTGTCGTTTACCGGCCAAGCAGGCTAGCTAGCTGGCTAGGAGGCTCCACAACTGTCTGACGAAAGAGGAGAACTGTCAAAGGATGAAATAACAACAGCTAGTTAGCTTTCTCGTCTAGCTTACTTTACGGATATCCTAATTGTTCTAGGAAAATACTTATAGCTAACATTAGCTAGATCTTCTCTATGGGGCTACAGTCGATAGCAACGGAACAACTTTATAGTCAGCTATTGTTGTGATAAACTAACGTTATAGGAATTAGTTAATGATTAGCTAATTATTTGGTAGTTTAACGTTAATCAGAAAGCGAGAATGTACCTCGACTTCAGTATTACTGGCAGTAGCTATGGTGTCTGCTTACTCGACACGGATGTCAAGTAATACAGAAGGAGAGTTTGTTTTGAGTGGCTTGAGGAATAACGTTACACTGTCAGTAATCAATAATGTGATTACCCGTTAGAAAACGCCACAGACAGCGGGGATTAACAGTATGTGAATGCTGTTTTGTGTTGACTGAAGCTTTGACAACGTGTCACACGCTACTGTAGGTCCGGGTGCCGCGTGTGTCAGAGTGATTGGGAAGCAAACAGGTATGACCAACAGGTGAACGCGGTTTTAAGGGACTTGACACTGAGTCAAAGAAGGAGTGTGCGCTAACGTCTTGGTATAACTTTGTCTTAGATAATGAGACGCATCTTATGAGAGATCACTGATATCAGTTTACATTATAGTTAAAGCATTCCTGCAATCTGTCAAATAAATAGATTGCTTGTGAGCCTGATTTTAGATACATTTGTATGTCCAACCTCTTGTCACACCACTGCCATAACCTAGATTTGTACTGTATGACTGGTGAGGTGGAGTGAGTCAAAGATGGTGTCTAAATGGGCATCAATAATCTTATTAGTAACAGTATTGTTGGCCTTATAAACAGCACTGCCTCAATGTGTTGTTTGGAAGCATTAAATAATCATTGGACCAGACAGAGACTGTGCCTGACGTGTCCCCTAGTGCTGAATATGTGAACGTGAGATCTCAGTGTGTTTGTGTTTATCAGAGAGTGTTGTGGTGTCTAGGCCTATATTAATGTGATGATAGGTTACAGTTGTACTTGACTGAAAGAGCCAGGTTGTAGCTATGTGGACGGTGTTGTGGTTTCGCCCCGCAACAATGTCGACCCTATTGTTCCCATTGCTGCTATTGCTGAGCACCTTATGCAGGCTTGGACAGTCTATGTCACGAGAGGAGAAGCTCAAGCTGAGGTAAGTGAGAAAGATGTCTGGTTCTGGGCTAGATGTGTGACAAGTTCTGACTGCCTCAGATAATGGAGGAGAATGAGCTAAGCTGACTTGTTCTTTCCCCTCAAGGAACCAAGTGGTCGAGATGTTTGACCATGCTTATTCGAATTATATGGTAAGTCTCGTCACCTCACCTGCCCCCTTCATATAACTGAGATCAAATCAAAGTTTAATGGTCACATACACAGTTTAGCAGATGTTCTAGCAGGTGCAGTGAAATGCTTATGTTACTAGCTCCTAACAATGCAGTAAAATGCCAAACAAGTACACAAATAATAATAAATAAATATTACAAAAAATGCAACAAGAAATTAAGAAATGTCAGAACTAATTCAATTAACAACCCAAATAGCACTGTAACACAAATCCAAATGCTATCTATATGTATATACACCGGATGAATTTACACAATATATACTAAGAATGACATGTACAGCAGTAGATATATTAGAGTGAGCTATGTCAAGAATCCAGTATATAAATAAATATGCAGGCTGTATAAACAGTGTAACTAAAATGCAATTCTTATAGAGAAGGGCACTCAACATGTACTGCACTGACACAAATGACTGATGATTGGTTGAAAGAAATTGATAATAAGAAGATTGTTGGAGTTGTACTGTTAGATTTCAGTGCAGCCTTTGATATTATTGACCATAACCTGTTGTTGAAAAAACGTATGTGTTATGGCTTTTCAACCTCTGCCATATCGTGGATTCAGAGCTATCTATCTAATAGAACTCAAAGGGTTTTCTTTAATGGAAGCTTCTCTAATGTCAAATATGTAAAGTGTGGTGTACCGCAAGGCAGCTCTCTAGGCCCTCTACTCTTTTCTATTTTTACCAATGACCAGCCACTGGCATTAAACAAAGCATGCTGATGATTCAACCATATATGCATCAGCAACCACAGCTAATGAAGTCACTGAAACCCTTAACAAAGAGTTGCAGTCTGTTTTGGAATGGGTGGCCAGGAATAAACTGGTCCTGAACATCTCTAAAACTAAGAGCATTGTATTTGGTACAAATCATTCCCTAAGTTCTAGACCTCAGCTGTATTTTGTAATGAATGGTGTGTCTGTTGAACAAGTTGAGGAGACTAAATTACTTGGCATTACCTTAGATTGTAAACTGTCATGGTCAAAACATATAGATTCAATGGTTGTAAAGATGGGGAGAGGTCTGGCCGTAATAAAGAGATGCTCTGCTTTTTTGACACCATACTCCAAAAAGCAAGTTCTGCAGGCTCTAGTTTTGTTTTATCTTGATTATTGTCCGGTCGAGTGCTGCAAGGAAAGACCTAGTTAAGCTGCAGCTGGCCCAGAACAGAGCGGCACATCTTGCTCTTCATTGTAATCAGAGGGCTGATATAAATACTAATCATGCCAGTCTCTCTTGGCTAAGAGTTGAGGAGAGACTGACTGCATCAATTCTTCCTTTTATAAGAAATAATGTGTTGCAAATCCCAAATTGTTTGCATAGTCAACTTACACACAGCTCTGACACACACACTTACCCCACCAGGCATGTCACCAGGGGTCTTTTCACTGTCCCCAAATTCAGAACAAATTCAAGAAAGCGTACAGTATTATATAGAGCCAATGTTGCGTGGAACTCCGTTCCATCTTATATTGCTCAAATAAACAGCGAACCTGGTTTCAAAAAACGGATGAAGCAACATCTCACGGCACAACGCCTCTCCCCTATTTGACCTAGAGAGTTTGTGTGTATGTATTGATATGTAGGCTACGTGTGCCTTTAAAAAAAAAAAAAAGTAGTTCTGTCCTTGAGCTGTTGTTCTGTATTATGTCATGTTTCAAGTTTTGTGTGGACCCCAGGATTGCAGCAGCTAATGGGGATCCTAATAAAATACAGTAGTAGAAATATTAGAATGAGCTATGTCGAGAATACAGTATTTAAATATGCCTTACAAAACACCATGGAAAAATTTATAGAATTGCAGGAAATTAGCTTCCGGACCAGAGTCACTCAGCAGGCATTTTATTAGGTACACCAATCTAGTTCCGGGTCGGACCCCCCCCTTTGCCTCCAGAACACCCTGAATTATTTGGGGGCATGAACATGTTACTCATTTGGTATCTAGGGACCTAACGTGTGCCAGGAAACCATTCCCCACACCATTACACCACCGCCACCAGCCTGTACTGTTGACACCAGGCAGGATGGGGCCATGGACTCATGCTGCTTATGCCAAATCCTGACTCTGCCATCAGCATGACGTAACAGCAACCGGGATTCGTCGAACCAGGCGATTTTATGTATATTTTGTTCACTCCTCATTTGTCCAGTGTTGGTGATCGCGTGCCCACTGGAGCCGCTTCTTCTTGTTTTTAGCTGTTAGGAGTGGAACCCGGTATGGTCGTCTGCTGCAATAGCCCAGCCGTGACAAGGACTGACGAGTTGTGCGTTCCAAGATGCCGTTCTGTACACAATGGTTGCACTGCACCGTTACTTATCTGTTTGTGGCCTGCCTGTTAGCTTGCACGATTCTTGCCATTCTCCTTCGACCTCTCTCATCAACAAGCTGTTTTCACCCACAGGACTGCCGCTGACTGGGTGTTTTTTGTTTGTCACACCATTCTCGGTAAACCATAGACACTGTTGTACGTGTAAAGCCCAGGAGGCCTGTCGTTTCTGAGATACTGGAACTGGCGCGCCTGGCACCGACTATCATAACACACTCAGTCGCTTAGGTCACTCGTTTTGCCCATTCTAACATTCACTCGAACAGTAGGAGCGAACCATTTTCATAAAACTAATAAACTGGCCACAGAGTGTATACTGTATGTGAATGGTGTGTATGGACAGTGTGTGTATAGCAGTAGTTATATAGGATGAGCCATGACTAGAATACAGTATATAATGTGCATTCGTAAAGTATTCAGACCCCTTGACTTTTTCCACATTTGGTACGTTATAGCCTTATTCTAAAATTGATTAAATAAATAATTTTCCTCATCACACACAATACCCCATAATGACAAAGCGAAAACAGGTTTTCAGAATTTTTGCAAATGTATATAAAAAAAAAAAAAAAAACATACCTTATCTACATAAGTATTCAGACCCTTTGCTATGATACTCGAAATTGAGCTCAGGTGCATCCTGTTTCCATTGATCATCCTTGATGTTTCTACAACTTGATTGGAGTCCACCTTTGGTAAATTCAATTGATTGGACATGATTTGGAAAGGCACTCACCTGTCTATATAAGGTCCCACAGATGACAGTGCATGTCAGAGCGAAAACCAAGCCACGAGGCTGAAGGAATTGTCTGTAGAGCTACAACACAGGATTGTGTCAAGGCACATATCTGGGGAAGGGTACCAAAAAATGTCTGCAGCATTGAAGGTCCCCAAGAACACAATGGTCTCCATCATTCTTAAATGGAAGAAGTTTGGAACCACCAAGACTCTTCCTAGAGCTGGCCACCTGGCCAAACTGAGCAATCGGGGGAGAAGGGCCTTGCTCAAGGAGGTGACCAAGAACCCGATGGTCACTCTGACAGAGCTCCAGAGTTCCTCTGTGGAGATGGGAGAACCTTCCAGAAGGACAACCATCTCTGCAGCACTCCACCAATCAGGCCTTCATGGTAGAGGCCAGACGGAAGCCACTCCTCAGTAAAAGGCATATGGCAGCCCGCTTGGAGTTTGCCAAAATGCACCTAAAGGACTCTGACCATGAGAAACAAGATTCTCAGGTCTGACAAAACCAAGATTGAACTCTGTGGCCTGAATGCCAAGCGTCACATTTGCAGGAAACCTGGCACCATCCCTACAGTGAAGCATGGTGGTGGCAGCATCATACTGTGGGGATGTTTTTCAGCAGCAGGGACTGGGAGACTAGTCAGGATCGAGGGAAAGATGAACGGAGCATAGTACAGAGAGATCCTTGATGAAAACCTGCTCCAGAGTGCTCAGGACCTCAGACTGGGGCGAAGGTTCACCTTCCAACAGGACAACGACCCTAAGCACACAGCCAAGATAACGCAAGAGTGGCTTTGGGACAAGTCTCTGAATGTCCTTGAGTGGCCCAGCCAGACCCCGGACTTAAACCTTATCGAACATCTCTGGAGAGATCTGAAAGTAGCTGTGCAGCGATGCTCCCCATCCAACCTGACAGAGCTTGAGAGGATGCGAAGAATGGGAGAAACTCCCCAAATAGAGGTGTGCCAAGCTTGTAGCGTCATACCCAAGAAGACTCAAGGCTTCAACAAAGTACTGAGTAAAGCGTCTGATATATATATATATATATATATATATATTATATATATATTTTTTTATACATTTGCAGAAATGTCTAAACCTGTTTTTGCTTTGTCATTAAGGGTATTGTGTGTAGATTGAGAAACAAAAACAATGGAATCCATTTTAGAACAAGGCTGTAACGTATTTATTTTTGGGAAAACGTCAAGGGGTCTGAATACTTTACGAATGCACTGTACATATAAAGTGGGTAAAACAGTATGTAAACATTAAGGTGACCAGTGTTCAATGACTATTCATTTTGTTCAGTGCCTTCAGAAAGTATTCAACCACCTTGACTTTTTCCACATTTTGTTGTTTTACAAAGTGGAATTAAAATGGATTGAATTGTAATTTTTTGTCAACGATCTACAAAAAATACTCTGTCAAACTAGATTTTTTTTGTAAAATATTTTTTCTATGAATTAAAAATAAATGTAATATCTTGAGTCAATACATGTTAGAATCACCTTTGGCAGCGATTACAGCTGTGAGTCTTTTTGGGTAAGTCTCTAAGAGCTTTGCACACCTGGATTGTACAATATTTGCACATTTATTATGTTTTTAAACTCTTCAAGCTCTGTCAAGTTGGTTGTTGATCATTGCTAGACAGCCATCTGATCAGCCATGCTGATCGAACCCAGGTCTGTTGTGACGCCTCTAGCACTGCGAGGCAGTGCCTTAGACTGCTGCGCCACTCGGGCGGCCCATTCTGTTTATTTTTATCAACAAAAACAAACTCCCTAGTCCTTGCCGATAACAAGCATACCCATAACATGATGCAGCCACCACCATGCTTGCAAATATGATGAGTGGTACTCAATGATGTGGTATGTTGGATTTGCCCAAAACATAACACTTTGTATTCAGGACATAAAGTTAATTTCTTTGCCACATTTTGTTTGTTGCAGTTTTACTTTAGTGCCTTATTGCAAACAGGATGTATGTTTTGGAATATTTGTATTCTTCCTTCTTTTCACTCTGCCATTTAGGTTAGTATTGTGGAGTAACTACAATGTTGATCCATCCTCAGTTTTCTCCTATCACAGCCATTAAACTCTGTAACTGTTTTAGTCACCATTGGCCTCATGGTGAAATCCCTGAGTGGTTTCCTTCCTCTCCGACAACCAAGTTAGGAAGGACGCCTTTATCTTTGTAGTGACTGCGTGTATTGATACACCATCCAAAGTGTAATTAATAACTTCACCTTTCTCAAAGGGATATTCAATATCAGCTTTTAACATTTTTACCCTTCTACCAATAGGTGCACTTCTTTGCGAGGCATTAGAAAACCTCCCTGTTCTTTGTGGTTGAATCTGTGTTTGAAATTCACTGCTTGACTGATAATTGTATGTGTGGGGTACTTAGATGAGGTAGTCATTCAAAATTCCTGTTAAACACTTATTGCACACAGAATGAAATGTAGTATGTGACTTGTTAAGCAAATATTTAGCTCCTGAAATTATTTAGGCTTGCCATAACAAAGGGGTTGAATACTTATTGACTAATTTCAGCTTTAATTTTTTTTAATTAATTGGTGAAAATGTCTAAACATAATTCGACTTTGACATTATGGGATATTGTGTGTATGCCAGTGACACAATCTCAATTTAATCCATTTTAAATTCAGGCAGTAACACAACAAAATGTGGAAAAAGTCAAGGGGGGTATGAATACTTTCAGACTTTTTCTGGTAGATGTTTTCTAAGACCCCTTTTCTATCTGTTTGACCAGACATCAAAGCCTTTGCTTATTCCTAATTTTTAAGATGAAAAATGGTTGCAACATTTATATGTGCCTTAATAAATAAAAATAGACACTTTGCTTTCATTTGACATGCTCCTATGAACTTCACATGTTTGTGCTCATGGGTCATTTTACATGGAAATGACCAGCTGTCAAAAAGTGTCCCCAGAGTGCGTGGCAAGTGGTTTACATTTCTGCTGTATTTGCCAGGAACAGATGTGAATGTGTTGATTTTGGTGTGGTAGTGTTTGCAAGGAAACTAGTTGAACCTTATTTATGCCAACTGTATGTTAATAAGTTCTGTCTGACATGTTCCACATTTACACACTACCATTGATCCTTATTGGTTGTGTTTTCCAGGACCATGCGTACCCAGCAGATGAGCTGATGCCTCTGACGTGTCGGGGAAGGGTGCGTGGGCTGGAGCCCAGTCGGGGAGACGTGGATGACGCACTGGGGATGTAAGTGTCTGCCTGCCTGCAGGCCTGAGTAGGATGTGGTAACAGGAGAACCAGTCCTGTTGGCACTGGAATACTCTGAGTCTCTATGTAGATATCTTCTAGCCATAAGGGACTGTGACAGTGATTGATTTAATTGTCTCTGTGTGTTTTTAAGGTTCTCTCTCACCCTCATCGACACCCTGGACACTCTAGTGGTGAGTACAATCTCTTTAGTATGTGTTGCCGACCAGTAAGCTGCCTTGTTGGTTTTGTTCAGCCTCCGTGTGTAGGGATGCTTTGGTTTTCATTGACTTCCTCCTGAATTTACTTCCAGCTCTTAAACAAGACAACAGAGTTTGAAGCAGCAGTGAGGAGAGTGCTGAAAGATGTGCGACTTGACAATGACATTGTGGTGTCTGTCTTTGAGACCAACATCCGTGTGCTGGGGTAAGAAAAAACATAAAAGCCAGTTGTTGAGTGGATGGACATCATGTGTGCGTGTGCATGCATGTGTGCGTACGTGTGTTTGTGACCACTGTGACATTTCTCGTGTTTCCAGGGGGCTGCTAGGGGGCCACTCCATGGCTGTAATGCTGAAGGATGCAGGGCATTACATGCAGTGGTACCAGGATGAGCTGCTCCACATGGCCAAAGACCTGGGTCTCAGACTCCTGCCTGCCTTCAACACCAGCAGTGGCCTGCCTTACCCCAGGGTGAGCCCTCAGACTATACATGCAACCCATACATAGAGTCTGAACATAAGGCCACGGCTGTTGTGTTTTTACCATAATATGTCATACACACACACACACAAGCATGTACATACATCCATAAGGTTGAGAGGGCAACTTTTGGCAAGCACATTAGCTAAAAGGATGCCGTCAGCTAGTGGGCAAGAATACAGCAGCCCTCTCAGATTATGACTGCATAATTGTGTTTTCTGCTTCAGTGCTCTGCTTGCAGCTGCCATAGTTTTCAGAGGCAGGATTTTATATGGCTGTATAGTTAACATGAACAATGTCTTGGAACACAGCTGTGTATTTCAGTCCATGACCGCTATATTGAGCCTTATAATTCCACTCAACAGGTAAACTTGAAGCATGGCATCAGGGGTCCTGAGTCTCGGACAGGCACAGAGACGGACACCTGCACAGCTTGTGCTGGTACCATTATCCTGGAGTTCGCTGCCTTGAGTCGCTTCACTGGGGACCCTGTGTTTGAGGTATAGGACGATCATCTATTTTACTTTTAAATGCGTGTTCAGATCAGGGCTGATGCATGCCTAGACTGCAGCGGTACTAGACCTTAAAGGGGCAGTCCAGCTTGTTGACTCTCGGAGATCCCAGTGTGTCTGAATGATATTGATTCATGGTCCTCTGTAGCTCAGTTGGTAGAGCATGGCTCTTGCAACGCCAGGATAGTGGGTTTTGATTCCCAGGACAACCCATACGTTTAAAAAAAGTATGCATGCATGAATTAGTCGCTTTGCATAAAATATTCTGCTAAATGTTTTTTTTGTGTTTAAAAAAAAAAATGTATTGTATCATACACAGGTCCAGGCACGGAGAGCCCTCAACTTCCTGTGGGAGAAGAGACAGAGGAACAGCAACCTGGTGGGAACAACCATCAACATCCACTCAGGAGAGTGGGTCCGCAGGGGTGAGAGGGGGAACCAGTCCCAGGCCGTAACTAGTATCTACTGTATCATAAAGGAGGATTTACATGGATTTATCCGGCGAACGACAGTGTATTGGGTGTGGTAGAAGTGAATGGGCAAGGGGGTAGGAGCTGATGTTCTGTACTTGTAGAAATAGGCCATTAGTGTTTCTGAGGTATGAAATGGTACACTGTTGTATTGTTCCAGACAGCGGAGTGGGAGCAGGGATCGACTCATATTATGAGTACCTGCTGAAGGCCTACATTCTCCTGGGAGATGACCTCTTTCTGCAGCGCTTCAACATTGTGAGTGACGTCTCCAGCCGAGATCATGGAATGCTGTTATGTCTTTATTATGATGGAATTCAATACATAGAAAGTATGCTCGATTCTCATCCTCAGCTTGTCATATTTTCTCATTATTTGTGTTTCCAGCACTATGCGTCTATAATGAAGTACATCAGCCAGCCTCCTCTCCTGCTGGACGTTCACATCCACAAGCCTCTGCTGCCTGCTCGCACCTGGATGGACTCCCTCCTGGCATTCTTCCCTGGGCTGCAGGTGAGACACTCAGCCTGGCGTCACTAACAGACCAGTTGCCTAAGCAGGGGTTTTAGTACATAAAGATAGTGCTGAGATTATGGAGACAAATTTAAGACATTTATTTTCCTCCTAACCTTGTTAATGAATCCCCCAGGTGTTGAAGGGAGATATCCGGCCGGCCATTGAGACCCATGAGATGCTGTATCAAGTCACCAAGAAACACAACTTCCTCCCAGAGGTTAGCTAATTTTTTTATGCTCCCTCTCCACCTCTTTCTATTCTCTCACTCAGGCTGTAGCCTTTAACACCCCCTGTGTTCCCCAGGCATTCACCACTGATTTCAGGGTACATTGGGCTCAGCATCCACTAAGACCTGAGTTTGCAGAGAGCACCTATTTCCTGTACAAGGTAAGGACTGTGGAGACATGCAGTCTAGAAGTTTACATAGATACATGAACATACATTTTGATCTCAGTGGCCTTCCTTATTGCCTAATTCAGTAGTACAGTGTCTAACCCTGGTCCCACTGTTCCCCCTCTAGGCCACCAAAGACCCCTACTACCTGGAGGTAGGCCGCACTGTGCTGGACAACTTGAACCGCTTTGCCCGGGTCCCCTGCGGCTTCGCTGCCATGAAGGATGTCCGCACCGGGAGCCACGAGGACCGGTGAGAGCCCAGAGCCAGGGGAATAGCCCAGGGATGGGGAGGGTCTGACTAATGGGAGGTAAACAGAGGTGGATGGTTTTAGTGGCTGAGCAACAGTGTGCCAGGCAGGTAGTTAAATCGAAATGGTTTATGTGGTGTCTGCCCTGCTGCTCCAAATTTGGCCTGCTTCCTCTCTCCTCTCAGAATGGACTCCTTCTTCCTGGCAGAGATGTTCAAGTACCTGTTCCTGCTGTTTGCAGAGGAGGAAGAGCTGCCGTTTAATGTTGAGGACTACATCTTCACCACCGAGGCTCACCTTCTGCCCCTGTCCCTGTCCACTGCCCCTCGCGCCCCCTCTCCTCCCGCCAACACCACGGTACAGGCCGCATCTCTGCCTCATCTGTCCGCCTCTGTCAAATCTCTTTGGGTTGGTATAGTAGGATCACATGCTGTGATCAGTTAGAGTTCTAATGATACTACTTCTAATAATATTCAGATGAGTTAGTCATGTTTGTTCTCTCCCCCTCTGTCTTAGTCAGAGGAAGAGCTGGATGACTCCAACTTTGATTGGACCTGCCCCAACACACGCCTCCTTTTCCCTGACCCCGCCTTCCCTCGGAACCTCCGAGATCCAATCAGAAGTGCTGTGGACAAGAGCTGTCCTCGCCCTGCCATTCACCGGTAAGGGACATTATGCCTAACGTGAGGAATCATGTTAAAAGTGCTTTTTGTACTAAAATATGGCAGAATATTGTTCTTGTCACAACCATACGGAGTGTGAACATTGATGCCCTCCACCCCCTTCCACCCTCTCGTCCAGTGAGCCAGGGATGGGTCGCCCCCCTCTGAGGGCTCAGGACTTTATGGCCAACAACCCTGATCACCTGGAGCTGCTGAGGAGGATGGGAGTCAGCCTTATACACCTGAAGGACGGCAGAGTGCAGCTGGTCCAACACGCTACACAGGTAAATAATCATGCACAATACAAGCCGGGAGACATGTTTTTGGTGTCATAAGACCACTGCCAACTCCCCATATGAGTCTTATTAAGTCTCTCCCCTACTCTCTCCATCTACTGCCCTCTCCTTTCAAACTCCATCTTCGTCCTTCTCTCTCCATCTCTCTCTAGGCGGTCAGTGCTGTGGCAGCAGAGGACGGGATGCGCTTCATGCAGGAGATGATGGAGCTGTCCAGCCAGCAGCAGAAGGAGCAGCTCCCTCCACGCGCCGTGCAGATCGTCTCCCACCCCTTCTTCGGCAGAGTGGTGCTGACCGCTGGCCCAGCACAGTTTGGCACAGACCTTTCCAAGAGCATCACGGGGGTGAGTTTGTTTCAGTGTGCCAATTTCCAATGGATGGGCGCCTGTCTGCTTGTTTGTTTTTCCTGTCTTGTCCCTAGGCGCCAGACGTTCTCTATTCTCGGTGTTCTGAGTGACATTTGAACATGTCCCCCCCCCCCCCCCCCCCCCCCCCCCCCCTCTCTCTCTCTCTCTCTCTCTCTCTCTCTCTCTCTCTCTCTCTGTGTGTGTAGGTGCGTGGGTTTGTGACAGTGGCTGAGCCCTACAGTGGCTGTGTGGTGTTGAGCAATGCTGCCTTTGTACAGGGCCGCATCGCTCTGCTGCAGCGGGGCCAGTGTATGTTCGCTGAGAAGGCCAGACACATCATGAAGGCTGGAGCCATCGGAGGCATCGTCATCGGTGAGGATGACCAACTGACACAGTATCTCAATTTAATTGAATGAATCTACTTCTGACATTTATAAATGTTCATGACACTTTCATCATGTGTATATAACCTTTAATAAACGGACATATGACCATTTATAGGATCCTCTTTCACCCTGCTAACTACCCCCTCATTCTCCCCAACAGATGACAACGAGGGCAGCAGCAGTGACACGGCTCCCCTCTTCCAGATGGCCGGCGACGGCCGCAACACGGACGACGTCACCTTGCCCCTGCTCTTCCTGTTCTACAAGGAGGGAAACATCCTGTTGGAGGCTCTTAAGGAGTACAGGGAGGTGGAGGTGCTGCTAAGCGACAAGGCCAGAGACAGAGGTGAGATCCACTGGACAGAACAGGAGGGTGCTACTGACTGGATGAAGACATGTTCAGAACATGGGTCCTTATAATGGATTTAATCTCATTAGAGACCAGATTTGATTCTGCAAAGATTTCAAAATGGCCAGTATTTCAGGGTTCAGTGGTGACTCAAAATAGTGGGCCTGTGGCCATTTTACAGTAGCAGCCTTGGTGGAGATAGGTAATGGTAAGCAACCAGTGTGATATGTGATACAGGATACAGCTCCCTTTCCATTGTTCTTCCTTCTCCTCTCCTTCCCTGTGGTGGACTGTAACAGTGTAACTTTCCTCTGCTCTCTCTTTCTTTTCCCTTCACCCTTTGGATGAGCAGCCTCCATATTCAAAGGTAAACCTCTCCCTGGCATCCTGCTGGAGAGCAGTAAGTATCGCCCTCCTCTTTCCTCCCCCCTCCATTATTTATATGTGGTAGAGCAGCTCAGTGCAGGTTAGTCTTGTGTAAATAGCTGGCCATCTCAGAACTCTTCAGGAGCATGATACTGTTTGTCTGTGCTGCCCATGACGCATCAGTACCATGCTGTTTATAGTTTGCTGCCTCATGTGAACTGCAACACTGCTCTATTTCTGTCTGGGAGTGACCGGTGTGGGTGCTTGTGTTAGATGTACGTAGATAGTGAGTTGGAAACAATGTATGACTGTGTTATGTAGGATACTAGGAAACTATATGGATGATTGTGCAGGATACAGCTTATTTATTGTGGTGGAATGTGATCTGAAAATGGACTGAGCTCATCCCTCTCTCCTTCCTTAGGTGGGGACGTTCAGGAGAATGACCAAACTTCACCCGCCTCCTCCGCAACACTCGACCGGTCACACGTGAGCACTGTGGAGCTGGATGAATCAGCTCCTGAATTGGCTCCCGACAATGAGGAAGTGACTCCTGAGGAGGATGTGGGACCTGCCTTTAAGAGGAACCCTGAGCCAGAGGAGGAGCCTGCAGTTGAAAAGGACTCTAGCAGCAAATCAGTGGAGGCCATGATGGCTGATTGGCAGGAGGACTTAGAGGCGTTCCAGCAGATGGAGGATGAGCTTTGACAGCCTCCACAGTCCCCCCTCCCTCATCCTCCTCCCCACTCTGATCTTTCCCAACCACAGTATTGGCCTGGAGGATGGCTGACTGTGCCTCTTAAAGGATAACATTTTAGTGGGGAGATGTTTTGATAAGGAACGGTTACCAGGATGGAATACAATGACTTCCACTCTGTTCTTTCTCTTCACCTGTCACTAGTTTCTCAGGTGTCAACGTGCCAGTTGCTCCCCTGACATACATCTGCCCATCTCATATTTCAGATTCTGGGTGGTCTTCTCAGCCTATCTCTATTGGCTCATAACAGAACAGACTGCAGTCCAGGTATCTACTGTCACCATGGACCTCTGCTCTAGTCTCACTATTTTCTGGTCTTTTTTTCGCGTCTTCCTCCAAATACATTTCTGGGTCACTGACATATGGGAGCAGATTCTGAATGCTGGTTGAATAATAATCCACTGACTGGTTGATTGATTGGTTTATTTAACTGTGATATGTTGTTGTAACATTTTACTATTTTCTTTTGTGGGGTCAATATTAAGCTACTTGGCTGTGAAGGACTGCAGTGAGAAGCAGTCTATAAAAGGCTAGTGCTGAGAATCACTTAGCACTGGCACTATCCAGGAATATATGAAGTTATAAGTGTGACTGTAAATATGTATTTGTCAGTTATTTCCAAGGTAGTTTGAAATACAGTGCTGCTTTGTGCAGGTTCTGGTCTGTATGAGAGATCACCCCTCTGGTCCACATGGGATGAACCTGCCCTACCCTTGCCCTCTGTCGTCATGGGGACAGGAGGGCAGACAGCATAGACGGGTTGGTTGTTTAGCAACAAAACCAACTGTTGCAAAACTATATCAAGATATAAAATACTGAACTGTCTTTGGATATACCATGTTCTATATCTATGGCAGACAGTACCACTGGCTGGCCAGCAGAGGGGATCCTTGTTTGAGGAAACATACTGATCTGAAACTTGCTGACTGACTGGAAGACCAAGCAAACAAAACAGCCAACAATGTAATGAACTTTTAATAAAATTGATAAAGAAATTAACAAAAGTGTTTTGTCATCCATCTCAATTTTTTAAAAAGTTTCAGGCAGTGTTAGATTAGAGGTTTCTATTGGTTTTAGACTATTACATGACTGGAAATTATAGTGGAACCATTGACAGTATTTTTATTTATATGATATAACCTCTTCTCTGGGTTGGGATTAAAAGGGAATGGAGACATTAGGGAGACACATCAGTGATTTCAATATTTTTTTATGGTTTAATATACAATATTTATGAATCAATTCTGATGCTTAATCTGCATGGATCACGCTGTGTACCCAATACATACGATTTTTATATATATTTTTTAAACAAATGTTACTGTCCCCACTACAACAACAAAAATACTTAACTTCTGTCCTTAAATTTTTTTATTGCAATACTGTAGAATTCCATATATTCCTATGGAGGACTGCCCCTTCTGGGGAGTGCCAATATGGTGGCCTGGTGGCATCAAAGCCTCTTATTGGCCATTTATATATCATCAGAAAAACAGGGTTTATACACATCATTGCATGTACCACAGGAGGCTGCTGAGGGGAGAATGGTGTATAATAATGGCCGGAATGGAGCAAATGCAATGGCATCAAACACCTGGAAACCATGTGTTTGATGTATTTGATGCCATTACCATGAGCCTGTTCTCCCCAATGAAGGTGCCACCAACCTCCTGTGGCATGTACCCCTATCAACACATATTTAATAGAATGTCTCGTTTTGTCTTAGGTCTATGGGCCCTATGCCAGTTCAGGCATTGCTTTTATTCTGTGCTAGAATCAATGCTCACATTTTTCTCAAAACTTCTACTTTTCTCTCCATAGAGAACTACTGAGCTGGCATGGTTGAACTATACCTCTCCGTCCATGATCTTGCGTCTTGGCCAATTTCGAGGAACAAGATGTCATGCATAAAAAATTAAAATAAAATATGCACATTTCATTTGGACACAGTGCTGCTACATTCAAAGGCTGCGTTTACACAGACAGCCCAATTCTGGTCTTTTTCCCACTAATTGGTCATTTGACCAATCACATCAGACCTTTTCATATCAGATATTTTTCAGAACTGATTTAATTGGTCAAAATACCAATTAGTGAAAGGAGATCAGAATTGGGCTGCCTGTCTAAACGCAGTCATAATGTACCTGTCGATCTCATTTCCCAGAAAAGTAGTCCCTCTCACATGCTACTACTTGCTTCTGTTGTCAAATGTATTCATTTATTTAGCCACCTTTTACATATAATTTTTGAGTTCACAAAATATCCCTTTTACATTCTTATTGCCAAAAAATTAACAGAATATTTACATTAAACAGTAAAGTCCTAAGCAAGATGGCTGCATTACTGCGCGAAATAGTGGCATCCTGGTAAAATGACGCAAACCATAGTTTACGTTCAGTGAAGTGGTAATACGGTTCCCATCCACACGCCAGCTTCCGCCTGACTGTCCGCGTGAAGCTCGGCGAATCTCAAGTGGACCGAGCGGAACCGGTTCAGTAAAGTAAGTAGCTACATTCATAAAATACTCGCTATTAGTTTAACACGTTATTAGCTTCAAAAATGAACGTGCACATATTATTTCTTTCTTTCGTAGCCTTCTCTTTTGTTGTTGTTCCCTGAGTCGGGCTGTGATTGCCTGGCGCTTTCCTTCCTGTGTCTTGGGGTTCGGCTCTCGGACATGTCTGTGTTCGACATATCTGCATGCGTCAGGAGAAAGGAGACTATAGGGGAAATGGAGTACTGTAGTAGGTATGTGTTTTGTTTACAGTTTAGTTTAGCATCATGCTCCGGTTGGATACCGTTCGATGGCTTTAATGCTTTACCATTTTAAAAAAAGTACAAAAAAATCTGGCTGCCCCCTTGCCCCTTCGTTCTCTCTCTTCTCCAATGCCGTTTGTTTCTGGACTTGAAGCAACATAAATAGAGGACACCTGGGGTGTCATAAAGACAAACACCTTCTGGCAGTATCTAGGTATGTGTGTGTGTACACACGTAGAGCCCGTACTCTCTTTCCCTGCGGGAAACAATGCGCCCAGTGTCTCTCTGCAGCGCAGCTGGACACAACTGTGTGTTCAGGCGAGCAGCAACTTTGCTCCGCCACGCTAGACCTGGGCTGGCGGCGCAGCTCAATAGTATCAATTGACTCCTTCTTAATGCATACACATGACTTGTGTCGAGATCTTACGGCTCCTCTGAGACTGAACGGTGACTCTCAACGGGGTGAATTGGGGGTGCTCGAGATGCTTGTCTGTATGTCTGTGGCTACCTACAGTGTCACTGCTCATGAGCCCACAGGCGATCATATCTCATCCTCAAGACATATACAGCTCTATATTCTCTGGCCACTGATGTGCTTTAGTGATGTGGCTTCAGCAACCATAGTATTGGGCAACGTAGGATAATTTTTTGTGTTTACGTTACATCGCCAAAAAGACATAGCCTTTCGTTTGACAATAACATAACAGTAGTCTGTGCAGCTTACTGATTTGCTGGTTAGTCGCTGGATGCTACCCCCTGCTGCTGGTCCACTGCAATAATTGGACCGATGCACATGCATTAACATGGGTGTATTTGCTTTATTGCTAAGGCACTATATTCGGCTAGCAGCTTATACATGGGCTAATATAGTCCTCTGCACTGTTGTGATTACATGACCATGCAATCTACGTTTATCTGTCTGGTTTTATCTGTATGCCTCCATCTGCAGCCCTCATCCGTTAATGCGATGTGTATGATTCGCTGCTCGCATATGGCTTTTGTTCCGGCGGCAGAAAAATACAGCGCACAGCTTGCTCTGAAGTCAGCGTTCCCTCCAGGCAGAGAGAGATCTATTATTAGCTGTCCTGTCCTCGCTCATCTGCCCATCTCTCTTCCTCTCAATCTCTCAATTTGTGCTCTCTCACTCCATCCCTTCTCTGGCCACTGTCTGAATCTCAAGTGGTGATTTTGGCCTGTCTTTGGCAGAGGCAACCATAATTAGGATTGATATGATGCAACGTTAACGTGACGTCACTAACGGCCCTGCTCAGGGCCGGTCTCTGCTGTTCTGCCGCCCTAGGCAAGACCAAAAAATGCACCCCTCCAAAACTAGAATAGTCCCAGTAAGCAAAATGAAGTTGAAAATACTTGTAAAATATGCAGTGGCGATTTTAGCATGTAAATCTTGGTGGGGCAAACTCAGTAATTTGTTTTGTTGATGCATGCCAGCAAAGCCACAACACTAAACTAAATGGTGCCCACAAACTGTTAGGGCCTACATAAAGCTGTCCCAACAGCAGAGCTTTCGTTTCAGCACCATGGAGTGAATCCTTACCACGGCTACACCTGGCTATCAGCGGAGCCTTGTCTGGCAGCGAAACTGTTAATTCAGCCTCATTTACTGCCTTTAAAAAAAAACATAGCTGATATGTATACTTTCTTAAACAAATGTGGTTTCTGCTGACAATTGATATGTACAAACTATGGCATAAGGAGAAGATGAGCGGATAAGAATCAATACGTAATTTATGTACATTAATGAGCGAGCTAGGACAGACAGTCAATAACAACTGTTTGTTCAGCACTTTTGAAATGTACAGTGACAGAATTCAGAACATGGGCCGTTCTTACAGTATTCTCCCTGTACACCAAGTCAGAACCGTAGGATAAATAAAGGGGGCATATAAGCAGACAATGAAAGCTCTTACAATATTCAATGATTACATTTATCTAAAACAGGCTATAGACTACATGTGCACCACCAAGTCAGAACAGTAGGCTAAGTTATGAGGGGGAAAGGGACCAAATTATTAGGGTGAGGCACATGGGCTACTAACAGCTTACTACACAACAGACATTTAGTATTACTTTCTTAGCTACAGTATACATATCTCCCTGACATACATAATTTATGCAGCAGCATACAAGACATTTTTGGACTCACCTTGTTGTGCTGTGTTCACTTGAACAGGAAGGTGGCGCGGCGGTCCTTCTTGTGGGCAAATTTTGTCATCAAAGTCTGTCATTCTCTGGATTTATGGTGCTTTCAAGACAACTGGGAACTCAGGAAAAACAAGGTTGAATCATGATGTCAGTGATCTTCAGGTCGGAGCTCTAGAAATAGGCCAGAGTTCTCGACTTGGAATTCAGAGTTAGATGACCATTCAAAACATATTTTCCCAGTCGGAGCTCGTTTTTGTCCGAGTTCCCAGTTGTCTTGAACTCACTGAAGTCTGAGATTTCCCAGTTCCGAGTTTCCAGTTGTTTTGAACACGGCAGAAGTTATGCTGGATTGGCCCAAGGTGTTGAGTATTTATCCTTTTAAGCTTGGAAAAGAGACCCTTAAACCCAGAATTAGACCACACACCAACTCCACTGAATAGCAGGCTAGTGATTGCTTTGCAACACATGCAGTTAGCCACTGATTCCTTCTAAACCATTCATTGTTGAATTTGCGATTACCAACTTGTTGTGTAATGTTTATGTCCAATGGCCGATGAGCACCGATACATTTAATCTATAATTTCTCTTCGATTGAAAAGGATTTGCTAGTAGATTGTCCACTTGATTCATGATGATGACTGCTTGCTAGCTAAGATTTTGAAAGTATGAGGTTGACATGATCAGTCCAATCAAAGCTACTGTAGATATAACGTGATTTGACATAATTTTATCTGTGGCCAATGACCTTGAGCCTTGGATGGGCACTTCTAATGTAACTCTAAGGCTGCACCCAAGGGGTTTGAATTTTCGAGCTCTCCCCATAGATTTTGCGGTGACGTAGTGCCCCCATGAGTAACAGAACACTGAGCCAATCACGGCGCAACTAGAGAACAATACCAAACCCTAAACTCCGTATTTTCCGCTGGCTGCCCCACCACCACAGAAAGCACTGAGCTAGGCTGAAACACCTGCATTTTGGAGCTGCCTTACTCAAGAAAGCAAAAAAAGAGACCATGTTTGTATGCGGCTTTATTAACTCAATTATATATATTTTTACATTGTTTGCAAACTGATGTGACACGTATTAATGCCAAAATAACATGCAAAACAAGCAACCCCAAAAGTTTTAGATATATATATATATTTTTTTTTTGCTAAACAGGTGGGGCTCAAAACAGGCGCCACTGGAAATATGTATTTTCCAGACATTGATGTTAGGTTCAATTTAGGTTCTGAATAAAAGGTGAAAATGCATATTTTCCGTATGTTTAAAATACATATTTTCCAGGATGTTGAAAAGGCAAATTTTCTGGATGTAGGAAAAATACGTATTCTCCGGATGTTGAAATTGGGTTCATTTTCGGTTCTGAATGAAAGTTGAAAAAAACGTAATTGATAGATGTCTATGTTTGGTCCAGCCTTGAAATTGAATTTTATGAATGCCCATCTATGTGGTAAGTCTACCGTTTTTGTAAAACACCCAGAAAGTATGTCCGGACAGGACTAAAAAAAGGGGTCCAAAAGACATTTGCTCGTGCTTACTGGGGTGTAGCCTCACCGCCGGCTGCTCATTAGGCAGGATTAGGCGGCAGATTGACAAGAGCGGCATTTTCAGAGCTAAACTGACGAAGACGCAACTCCAACAACAACACATAAAACCTCACATAATTCTGCCCAAAAACAATGACAATTTGTCTCAACCAGTGTCATATTGGCTTTTTAGGTGAGCGCTGATGCCGCCTTGTGATAAACAGTGGCCACTTTGTCAAAGGCAGGGGCGCAAAATATTTTGCTGGTCCATTCCCAGCCCTAGGGTGCTGTTGGCTAGACGCTTCGCTGAGGCGCTCCACTAACGTTCCGTCAAAAATCATCTAACATAAATCATGTAGCCGATATACAGTGGGGAAAAAAAGTATTTAGTCAGCCACCAATTGTGCAAGTTCTCCCACTTAAAAAGATGAGAGGCCTGTAATTTTCATCATAGGTACACGTCAACTATGACAGACAAATTGAGGGAAAAAAATCCAGAAAATCCCATTGTAGGATTTTTAATTAATTTATTTGCAAATTATGGTGGAAAATAAGTATTTGGTCACCTACAAACAAGCAAGATTTCTGGCTCTCACAGACCTGTAACTTCTTCTTTAAGAGGCTCCTCTGTCCTCCACTCATTACCTGTATTAATGGCACCTGTTTGAACTTGTTATCAGTATAAAAGACACCTGTCCACAACCTCAAACAGTCACACTCCAAACTCCACTATGGCCAAGACCAAAGAGCTGTCAAAGGACACCAGAAACAAAATTGTAGACCTGCACCAGGCTGGGAAGACTGAATCTGCAATAGGTAAGCAGCTTGGATTGAAGAAATCAACTGTGGGAGCAATTATTAGGAAATGGAAGACATACAAGACCACTGATAATCTCCCTCGATCTGGGGCTCCACGCAAAATCTCACCCCGTGGGGTCAAAATGATCACAAGAACGGTGAGCAAAAATCCCAGAGCCACACGGGGGGACCTAGTAAATGACCTGCAGAGAGCTGGGACCAAAGTAACAAAGCCTACCATCAGTAACACACTACGCCGCCAGGGACTCAAATCCTGCGGTGCCAGACGTGTCCCCCTGCTTAAGCCAGTACATGTCCAGGCCCGTCTGAAGTTTGCTAGAGTGCATTTGGATGATCCAGAAGAGGATTGGGAGAATGTCATATGGTCAGATGAAACCAAAATAGAACTTTTTGGTAAAAACTCAACTCGTCGTGTTTGGAGGACAAAGAATGCTGAGTTGCATCCAAAGAACACCATACCTACTGTGAAGCATGGGGGTGGAAACATCATGCTTTGGGGCTGTTTTTCTGCAAAGGGACCAGGACGACTGATCCGTGTAAAGGAAAGAATGAATGGGGCCATGTATCGTGAGATTTTGAGTGAAAACCTCCTTCCATCAGCAAGGGCATTGAAGATGAAACGTGGCTGGGTCTTTCAGCATGACAATGATCCCAAACACACCGCCCGGGCAACGAAGGAGTGGCTTCGTAAGAAGCATTTCAAGGTCCTGGAGTGGCCTAGCCAGTCTCCAGATCTCAACCCCATAGAAAATCTTTGGAGGGAGTTGAAAGTCCGTGTTGCCCAGCGACAGCCCCAAAACATCACTGCTCTAGAGGAGATCTGCATGGAGGAATGGGCCAAAATACCAGCAACAGTGTGTGAAAACCTTGTGAAGACTTACAGAAAACGTTTGACCTGTGTCATTGCCAACAAAGGGTATATAACAAAGTATTGAGAAACTTTTGTTATTGACCAAATACTTATTTTCCACCATAATTTGCAAATAAATTCATTAAAAATCCTACAATGTGATTTTCTGGAGAAAAAAAAATCTCATTTTGTCTGTCATAGTTGACGTGTACCTATGATGAAAATTACAGGCCTCTCTCATCTTTTTAAGTGGGAGAACTTGCACAATTGGTGGCTGACTAAATACTTTTTTCCCCCACTGTAGGATATGATAGAAAGAGTATGTGGCCTTTTCTGTAGCCTACAGGCTGGAAATAAAACGTATGACAATGTAATGAGATGGACACTTTTTACATCATGCAGGTTTCTCAGATCAAATAGCATTTTACATTTACATTTTAGTCATTTAGCAGACGCTCTTATCCAGAGCGACTTACAGTTAGTGAGTGCATACATATTTTTTTTTATTTTTCATACTGGCCCCCCGTGGGAAACGAACCCACAACCCTGGCGTTGCAAACACCATGCTCTACCAACTGAGCTACATCCCTGCCGGCCTTTCCCTCCCCTATCCTGGACGACGCTGGGCCAATTGTGCGCCGCCCCATGGGTCTCCCGGTCATGGCCAGCTATGACAGAGCCTGGATTCGAACCAGGATCTCTAGTGGCACAGCAGGACCACTGCACCACTCGGGAGGCCTAACCTAAATGGCGCCCAATCAAATAAAAAATGTGCTGTCATGTTAATAAACATATCCTAAAAACAGGACAGTAAATGGACAATATGGAATGGACAATCACAACTGTTGTCCAGGAGTTTCACCCCATTGTCATGATCAGTGGTTTCAAGTTTGTATCCATCATTTTTTGACAAGCTGATCATAGCACCAACAAAAAATGACTTTCTCGCTGTGTAAACACATTGCAAATAGGCTCACGATAACTCCTGATAAAGTCGGGTAGCTGATATTCAAAGCTTAAATAGCCAAATTGATTAGTCACATGAATCAATAAAACCAATGCATCGGCCTGTGTTACAAATGGTGGGCCTACCAGATGGATGGGCATTCATAAAATTCCATTGCCTCCGACATGATAGGCTACACTCCAGTAAGCACGAGCCACCTTGTCTTTGTGAGACGCAGAGTAGGTGAACGGATCTCCGCATGTGTGGTTCCCACCGTGAAGCATGGAGGAGGTGTGATGGTGTGGCGGTGCTTTGCTGGTGACACTGTCAGTGAGTTATTTAGAATTCAAGGCACACTTAACCAGCATGGCTACCACAGCATCCTGCAGCGATACGTCATCCCATCTGGTTTGCGCTTAGTGGGACAATAATTTGTTTTCAACAGGACAATGACCCAACACACCTCCAGGCTGTGTAGTGGCTATTTGAACAAGGAGAGTGATGAAGTGCTGCATCAGATGACCTGGCCTCCACAATCACCCGACCTCAACCCAATTGAGATGGTTTGGGATGAGTTGGACCGCAGAGTGAAGGAAAAGCAACCAACAAGTGCTCAGCATATGTGGGAACTCCTTCAAGACTGTTGGAAATGCATTCCAGGTGAAGCTGGTTGAGAGAATGCCAAGAGTGTGCAAAGCTTTCATCCAGGCAAAGTGTGGCTACTTTGAAGAGTCTCAAATATAAAATATATTTTGATTTGATTAACACTTTTTTGGTTACGACATGGTTCCATATGTGTTATTTCATAGTTTTGATGTCTCACTATTATTCTACAATGTAGAAAATAGTAAAAATATAGAAAAACCCTTGAATGAGTAGGTGTGTCCAAACCTTTTGACTGGTACTGTATGTTAGATTATTTATTTGACAGAACGTTGGTGGAGCGCTGCAGCGATGTGTCTCTTCAACAGCACCCTGGAGAGGAGCGCTGGGAATGGACAAGCAAAATATTTTGCGCCCAGAGGGCACTGTTTATCACCGGGTGGCATCAGCGCTCACCTAATTGTCCACATGCCACTGGTTGAGAGAAATTGTCATTGTTTTTCTGCAGAATTATGTGAGGTTTTATGTGTTGTTGTTGTTGGAGTTGCGTCTTCGTCAGTTTAGCTCAGAAAATGCCGCCTTCATCAATCTGCCGCGATTGCCGGCTGCCTAATAAGTGGGCCTACATACCACTGCTACACTATAGCCATCTGGCGTACGGCATTGCCTTCAGCCGTTGAGGAAATGCTTCCTTTGACGTCAATGAAAGCTGCTCCACGTCCAATGGCAGCGTTCAAGCTCAAGAATAGCAGAGGATCAATTCTTGATGGCTGATGTGCACGTTCATTCTATCTTGTGAATTGAAATAATGGGAAATAAAGTAGATTTTGGTTGCATATGGCCTCGACTATACACCACTGGTTATTTTACTAAGATTTATGAAGTCAAGAAGCTACTACAAGCTAGCTAGCTACATTGACTAGCTAGGTTCACAATGTAAACAAAAGCAAATTTAGTATAACCACTAGCAAGAATGAGTATTTGTGAAAAACTGGACGAAAGCTATTGTACTTACGCATAATCGATGAATGTGGTACATACAGTAGGGCACTGTTGTTATTGGGGTTCTCTGTGTGTGTGTGTGTGTGTCCTGACTGCATGTGTGTTAGTACCTCTGCACATGCTAATTGTGGTGGTCGGTCATTGGCATTGCTGAGTGGCATTAGGTGTCAGGTGAGGTGTATTGCAGTGCAGTGCAGAAAGCACAAGGCCAGCACAACCTGATCCCTCTAGGTACTGACTCACAAAGCTCAGGCACTGCAGGCTGCATGATGCACATTGCTGTGTGTGTGTGTGTGTTTGTCTCTCTCCCAAATCTGTGTCAGTGTGTACATGGTGTTTACAGAGTCCAGTGAACCAGTGGTACATGGGGGCAGGCCAGAGTATTTTACTTTGTTTTGGACAGAGGTAGGCTTGGGCGACATACCGTTTATACAATATACCAGGGAAATTCCGAAATACAGTATGATTTTCGCCTCCCGGGGGCTGCTGGGGTGCGTGCTACATTTTACATTTACATTTTAGTCATTTAGCAGACGCTCTTATCCAGAGCGACTTACAGTTAGTGAGTGCATAATTTTTTTCATACTGGTCCCCCGTGGCAAACGAACCCACAACCCTGGCGTTGCAAGCGCCATGCCCTACCAACTGAGCTACATGGGACTATGCAACTGCTTCTAACTAACTATAAGTTAAGTATAACTAAGAAATCTAAGATGTGTCAAATAAATTATATCCAGCTCAGGGCTATGCATTTGGTTTGCTAGCTAAGTAGCTTGATGTCAAGATCAAGCTTCTTGGTTACAGCAGATACATTCCATCCACTCCTGGATCAATCCCCTCCTGGATCAAGATCCCTGTTTTTCTTTTTTTATAGAGCCCCTTGTGTGCACATTCGGTAATACCGTATACCCTGGTATGATACAGAAACAGTATGAACATATGGATATCGCCCAACCCTAGACAGAGTGACTTTGCACGTGTTGCTTGTTGCTGTTGCTGCAGCAGGAGATCAAATCACATTTTATGTCACATGCGCCGAATACAACAGGTGTATTACCGTGAAATGCTTACTTACAAGTCCTTAACCAACAATGCAGTTAAGAAAATACAAACCATAGTAAAAAAATTATAATATATATATATACACACACACACACACACACACACACACACACACACACACACACACACACACACACACACACACACACACACACACAAGGGGTACTGGTACCGAGTCAATGTGTTAGTTGAGGTAATATGTACACCAACAGTGCAGAGTGGTACTGGAGCCTGGAGGCGTTGCAGAACAGGGCTCCCAGAACAGAAGATTGGTGTTGCTCTGTTGCAGGCCATATAACCTGGAACTCACGAAAATATATGGATCTCAGAGTATAACCAGATACAATGCCTTGCAAAAGTATTCATTCCCCTTGGCGTTTTTCCTATTTTGTTGCATTACAACCTGTAATTTAAATGGATTTTTATTTGGATTTCATGTAATGGACATACACAAAATAGTCCAAATTGTTGAAGTGAAATGAAAAAAATAACTTGTGTCAAAAAATTCTAAAAGATAAATTACGGAAAAGTGGTGCATCCACATGTATTCGCCCCTAAATAAGATCTAGTGCATCCAATTACCTTCAGAATTCACATAATTAGTTCAATAAAGTCCACCTGTGTGCAATCTGTGTCACATGATCTCAGTGTATATATACACCTGTTCTGAAAGGCCCCAGAGTCTGCAACACCACTAAGCAAGGGGCACCACCAAGCAAGCGGCACCATGAAGACCAAGGAGCTCTCCAAACAGGTTAGGGACAAAGTTGTGGAGTACAGATCAGGGTTGTGTTATAAAAAAATATCTGAAACTTTGAACATCGGAGCACCATTAAATCCATTATTAAAAAATGGAAAGAGTATGGCACCACAACAAACCTGCCAAGAGAGGGCCGCCCACCAAAACTCACGGACCAGGCAAGGAGGGCATTAATCAGAGAGGTAACAAAGAGACCAAAGATAACCCTGAAGGAGCTGCAAAGCTCCACAACGGAGATTGGAGTATCTGTCCATAGGAGCACTTTAAGCCATACACTCCACAGACCTGGGCTTTACGGAAGAGTGGCCAGAAAAAAGCCATTGCTTAAAGAAAACAAAATAAGCAAACACGTTTGGTGTTCGCCAAAAGGCATGTGGGAGACTCCCCAAGCATATGGAAGAAGGTACTCTGGTCAGATGAGACTAAAATTGAGCAAACTGAATAGTTATGCATGCTCAAGTTTTCTGTTTTTTTGTCTCATTTCACAATAGAAAATATTTTACATCTTCAAAGTGTTCGGCATGTTGTAAATCAAATTATACAAACCCCCAAACAATCAATTTTAAATCCAGGTTGTAAGGCAACAAAATAGGAAAAATGCCAAGGGGGGTGAATACTTTCGCAAGCCACTGTAAGAGAACACAGAACACAGCACTGGAAAGAGCCTACTTGTTTGCAGTGACATGATCTTCTCACAAAATTTATTATAATTTGACAGGAAATATGCATCACCATTTTGAGACATGATTCTGCTTTTTGGCACCTACATAAAGGTAGCCCATCTTCCAACTCTATTCTATTATTCAGGTTTTCCACCCTGCAAATGAAATAATAATTACAATACAAACCCACCCTGCCCTGGTTACAGTCACACACAGGAAACTGCTTCACCAATTATCCTACTGCAGAGACGCAATTAGGTCCAGATTGAAATATACTGTATCTGATGCAGTGGTAATGATTTCTAATGAACATTCATGGTCATACTATATTTGTCCGCCAAGACTTGTCAGAGTGATTCTGATGGATATGGAGCAGCAGCGTGAAAGAGAACAACAGGAGTGGTTGACTTAAGCTCTGCTGTTTGTTGAGCTGGGAGGGCATGTCTGGGAGGGAGCAGGGAGCAGCTCTAGAGAAGGTGATAACATGGTAAGTGAGTTAAGACACAGCGATACTACTGTACCAGGACACTGTGATAATAAGTCCATAAATAGGGTCAGGAGTGTATCCCTGACCACGTGACTGACATGAGGAAAATCTCTGGTCCTACTGTAAAACTCCTGGCCCTAATCCTCAACACTGCCATGTGGGAACACTGGGGCTCGCATTCATTTCCTAAATTCTTTGCATTTCAGCTCACCTGAAGGTAGAACGTGTCACGCAATTTACAAACGTTTCAAGCGCACAAAGACTAAGAGATTTGGCTCCGACTTAGGTGTCTGTCTGTTAGTGGGGAGAGAGTACTCGTCCCCCTAGATGTTGCAAGTTTTGGGTATCGTTTTTTGTGTTTGCTTTAAACCCACTACTTTCTGCTCTGCTTGTGTAGCCAGTGCTTCCTTGCTTGAGTAAGATGGGCAGTGGTAAGAGTAAGTTCAAAAAGGCTAACCAGCTGAGTGTGAAGTTCCGACCTTGCCCTAGGGTGGTTTCACAATAAAAATGTAAGAAACTCATGAGTTTTGTCCTGCTTGCCTGGGGTGGAAACACGCTTAGGCGGCTTTGGCTCAGACCAGTTCGTGTGACTATTTGTATTTTATTACAGATCCCCATATTAGCTGCCGCCAAGGTAGCAGCTACTCTTCCTGGGGTCCAAACAAGATTAAGGCAATTATATACCAAATAAAACAGTACATCACACAATACAACATTACACACTACTCTACCACAACATATCTACAATACCGAATCATAATACAGCAGTATAACAATATTACAATGTACCTGTGTGTAGAGTGTGTGCTAGCATGCGTGTGCTTATGCTTGTGTGTGCCTGTGTCTGAATGTCTCTTCACAGTCTGCGCTGTTCCATAAGGTGTAGTTTTATCCAGGGGTTTTTCCTTCTGATTTTACTGGTTGCTTGAGTTACTTGATGTGGAATAGAGTTCCATGTAGTCATGGCTCTATGTAGTACTGTGCGTTTCCCATAGTCTGTTCGGGACTTGGGGACTGTGAAGAGACCTTTGGTGGAATGTCTTATGGGGAATGCATGGGTGTCTGAGCTGTGTGCTAGTAGTTTGAACAAACAGCTCAGTTCTTTCAACATGTCAATACCTTTCACAAAGACAAGTAATCAATCAATCAATCAAATTGTATTTATAAAGCCCTTTTTACATTGGCAGATGTCACAAAGTGCTATACAGAAACCCAGCCTAAAACTCCAAACAGCAAGCAATACAGATGTAGAAGCACGGTGGCTAGGGAAAAACTCCCTAGAAAGGCAGAAACCTAGAGAGGAACCAGGCTCTGAGGGGTGGCCAGTCCCCTTCTGGCTGTGCCGGGTGGAGATTATAACAGTACATGGCCATTAAGGACAGATTTTTCTCCAAGATGTTTAAACGTTCATAGATGACCAGCAGGGTAAAATAATAATCACAGAGGTTGCAACAGGTCAGTACATCAGGAGTAAACGTCACTTGGCTTTTCATAGCCGGGCATTTAGAGGTTGAAATAGCAGGTGTGGTAGAGAGAGAGAGTTGAAAACAGCATGTCTGGGACAAGGTAGCACGTCCGGTGAACAGGTCAGGGTTCCATAGCCGCAGGCAGAAGAGTGGAAACTGGAGCAGCAGCATGACCAGGTGGACTGGGGACAGCAAGGAGTCATCAGGCCAGGTAGTCCTGAGGCATGATCCTAGGGCTCAGGTCCTCCGGGATGGGAGGGAGAGAGGGTGATGCAGACAATCTCTCCTCAACTTTGAGCCAGGAGAGATTGACATGCATGCTATTGAAGTTAACTCTCTCGTGTACATTTTAAGGCCTAGCTGTGCTGCTCTGTTCTGGGCCAACTGTAATTTGCCTATGTCCCTCTTTGTGGCAGTGGACCATATGACTGGGCAGTAGTCCAGGGGCGACAAAACTAACTTGTTTTGTTGATAACAATGTCAAGAAAGTAGAGCAGCGCTTTATTACGGACAGACCTTTCCCCATTTTAGCTACCGTTGCATCAATATGTTTTGACCATGACAGTTTATAATACAGGGTTACACCAAGCAGTTTAGTCTCCTCAACTTGCTCAATTTCCACATTATTCATTACAAGATTTAGTTGAGGTTTAGTGAATGTTTTGTCCCAAATACAATGCTTTTAGTTTTTGAAATATTTAGGACTAGTTTATTTCTTGCCACCCATTCTACAACTGACTGCAGCTCTTTGTTAACTGTTGCAGTGATTTCACTTGCTGTGGTAGCTGACGTGTATAGTGTTGAGTCATCACCATACATAGACACAAAGGCTTTACTCGGTGCTGGTGGAAGGACATTAGTAAAGATTGACAAAATAAGGGGCCTAGCCAGCTGCCCTGGGGAATGCTTAACTCTACCTGGATTATGTTGGAGAATGCTCCTAGAAAAATGTAGGATTCTAGCTTTATTAACTCCAATATCTTTCATTGTGCTCCTACATTTCTTTGTGTACGCCTACATTTTCCAACTTAGGCACACACGTGCTCCTTGTAAAAAAAGGTTTGGCTCCGCTATGGAGTCCTTACATGCCCATTTCGAGGAGAAACAAAAATACGACGCAGCTCTACAGGTCCTTGTCCCATGAAAATCCTTTGCGGCGGTGGCTCGTCAGTTCCCGGGGCGTGAAGGAAAGGGTCTCGGTCATAGGCGGGTTGCCCCGGGCCAGGGGGTGGCTTCGAGGTCTGTTTTTGACAGTCTTGGTGCTTCTGGGCAGCGGTGGATGTCTTGGCACAGACTCTGTGCTGAATCGAAGGGGAGCGGGGTTCTTCTGCTGCATGGGGGAAGAAGCAAACCTGGAGGCCGGGAGAGGGGGGCGTGTTCTCGGGGCCCTCCTCCCCAAGCATTTACTGTGGCAACAGTGCTCCCATGTGGCTTGGTCAATTGGGGCAAGTTACTGGTCGCCGAAGTCCCTGAACCCGGTGTGGGCCTGGTATCAGAGCGGTGGTACCACGAAAGTACATTGTTTCTACCCAAGATTCCTCTGTGTTCAGGGGTATCGAAAGTGCGTTTTCGTCCAGGTTAGTGTTGCGCTGTATACCGGTACCACGGTAATATCACATTACCAAAACATCATGATACTTATGATACCAACATTTTAGAGTACGGTTTCATATACTACCAAATTTTTTGGCCCTACCGATCTAAAGAACCCACTGGCGCCTGTTATAAAATGTTTCTATAAAGTCAGTAAAAAAAAGAAGCAACAGCAGCTAGTCTCTTGTGTGCACCAGTCCAATAATGTCCACTTCACTTTCATGCGCATATCACATGTGGCAGCTGTAATCAGCCAGCCGCATCCCCTTCCAGCCATCACTCACCTGCTTCTCTCCGTCCACGCTTCCTGCTCATTTATTCCTCCAGCTTTAAAAATGTAATTTAGCCGTGATGGCGAGCGGTGATGCAGACCCTGATCAGTCTTCTGTTGTTACATATGTACATTTGATACATTGGAGCAGCACGGAGAGCGAGCAAAGTTGATACATTGTATATCATTTCATCCCTGGTATAACCAGTGCACAGGCCAGTCTGAGGAGGCTTTGCAAGTTCATATGACCATACAACCGGAGCAACTTTTTTTTCTTCTTCCTGCACGATTTCGATATAATTTCACAAACCATGTCACAAGCCATTTAAAACTAATCACGGTATGATAATTATTGGTTTGATAACAAACAACGTTGTTCAGTCATGTTACCTAGCTAGCTAACAATGTGGTAACTTGACAGTAGGTCTAGGCAATTTTTCATTGGCACTAGAAGAAAAGGAAAAGGGTCTGCTTCTCATGAGATGTGCTTCAAAGGTAGGATTCATATAGGCCTAATGTAAGCCTTAACTATATCAAACATTTATTTTTGGTGATCCTTACTTTGTTAGGTGCCTAACGTTTGTAAAGTTGGGAGCAGTGTGTGTGTGAGAGGGGGAGAGTGTGTGTGTGTGTGTGTTACAACTGAAGAGTAAAGAAGGTTTCATGCAGTGTTTTCCCTTGCTGCCACAATGACATGCAGTTCATTATGCATGTATATTCCTTCGTTCCTTATGCATGTATATTCCTTCCAAATATGAGCAAATCAGGCATTCTATGCAGTATTATAGTGAACAGTGAGCAAGCACGGTTACATGCACACAATAATGCGATTTATTGTGGATAGGCGGGTTAATATATTAGTTCATTTAAAACGTTGACATGCTTTGCAAGAAGAACGATTTCCCTAATAATCCTGTTTACATGGACACATCTGAAATCAGGCTACCTGATGGGAATTTTGATAAATGCAGAAAATCGTCTATCAAAATAAACGTTCTACCACAGTGACCATGTTATTTTTGAGGTCGGACATATAAAGTTTGTATGTGATGCATACTTTCAGTTTTTCCGAACTCACTTCACTTGCGCAAAAGAGGTAGGCTTGCGCTACCCAATGCTGACACATGCGCAGATCAAATACACTGCTGAAACGGCGATTTAAACTATTTACATGTCCTAATAATTTGAAAGATTGCTCAGAAAATCTGGTGTTTTAATGACTGTACGCCAATTTAAGATAAGCAAAGTAAGGTGTTTACATGACTAATGCCATACTTGGCCTTCTGCCATAGGCTAATCAGTTTAATATCAAATTATTATTGTGCATGTAAACATTCAGTGTGACGTTAAATTCGACGCTAGGCCACTGAATATTCCCCCGTGATATCGTGACACTACTCTGTATTTTGATACTTGGCCTGGTATCGTATCGTAACTAAAATGTTGGTACCTAATCCAGGGGTGGGCATAATAAACACAGTTCCTTCCCCACATTGACACACGGTTATCAAGAATGGTGGATATGAAAAGAAGCATGACCCCCAAAAAAATTAATTATCTCAGTCCTCAGGGTGGCGCTCTGCCCCTTCAGGAGATAATGTATGGAGACTGGCAGCATGCTCTGTCCAGTGGTGGGCATGTGCAGTTTCACCATTGGTGATGATGACGAGGGGGTACGGTCTGCAGTTCGCTGTGCTTCCTCCTCCTTTTTGTGGCATCATTACATCGATGGTCCCCAAGGTCCTAGTGCCTGTCTCAAGAGAGGAGATTTCCTTTCTACTTCAAAAGCAGGCTATTCGTGTGGTCCCTGTGTCAGAAGTACAGAGTGGTTGGTACAGCCGGTATTTCTTAGTTCCCAAAGCGATGGAACGTCCTCGACTTGCGGCACCTCAAGGTTTGCAAGTTCAAAATGCTCACACTTCGCAAGCTATTGCAGTCGGTGCGTCCCAGCGATTGGTTCACGTCCATAGAGGTGAAGGATACGTATTTTCATGTAGATATACATTCTTCCCACAGGACGTTTCTTAGGTTTCATTTAGAGGGTGTGGCCTACGAGTTTCTGGTCCTGCCTTTCAGGCTCTCCCTATCGCCCCACACCTTTTCTATGATGGTGGAGGCAGCTTTGGGATCAGAGTATTGGCCTATCTCGACAATTGTCTGGTCGTAGCGGCGTTGAGGGAACACGTGTGGCGCGCCACACTGCCACGCTGGTTTCCCATATTTAGTCTCTGGGGTTCATAGTGAATCACAAGAAAAATTGTTTGACTCCGGCTCAGCACTTTCAGTTTCTGGGTCTCGTTCTGGACTCGGTTCTGAATCATGTGTTTTTCTCCCAACAGAGGGTCTCATTTCGGCTCTGTCTGTCACGTTTTCAGCTGGGGCACTGAGTGCCTTTTCACTTGTGCCTGCAGTTATTGGGTATGATGGCCTCTGATAGCTGTGGTGACTCTGGGAGTTTTTTGTTGATGCGTCTGTTTCAGCGCTGGGTGATTGCTACGCATCTGGATGCTTGGAGGGACTCGCGACTGCTGTTGCTGGGGGTTATCATGAGCAGGGGAGTGTCCCGCAGGGTGATCTTGACAGACGCATCCTTACTGGGATGGGGAGAGCTGTGTGTGGGCTACTCGGAAAGAGGGATTTGGTTGCGCTGCATAACAATTACCTAGAGCTACTGACTGTTTTGCTAGCGTTGAGGCGTTGCCTTCGGATGTTTGAGGATCCGACAACAGGATGGCAGTGGCATACATCAACAGGCAGGGGGGGACGCGCTCTCGCTCTCCTAAACCATGCCCATTATCTGCTCATATGGAGCAGTGTGAATTTCCTGTCGCTCAGGGCGACGTATCTTACCAGATCTCTCAACGTGGGTGCGGATCTACTTCTCTACGGAGTGGCAACTGCACCCTTCGGTGGTTGCCCAGATATGGGACCGGTTCATCAGGGCTGATGTAGATCTTTATGCATTGCGAGAAAACACGCATTGTGATCTGTTCTTCTCAATGATGGATCTGGGCCCTCCATTGGGAACGGATGCTTTGGTGTATCCGTGGCCTCGGACCATGCTCTATGCGTTTCCTCCGGTGGACCTGATTCATGCCACCATGGCGAGGGTCCGACAGAAGGGTCTGTTGTTGATTCTGGTGGCTCCCCTTTGGTGCAGACAACCCTGGTTCCCGGAGATCATCCCCCTGTTGGTCGGGGACCCGTGGAGGGTTCCGTGTCGTCGGGATCTATTATCCCAGGCGCATGGGAGAGATATGAGATCTGTGTGTTTGGCCCCTGAAAGGTTGAATTTGACGCCTAGGGGTTTACCCGCTCTAACGGGATTTACGACGATATAATCGGCGGGTGCGTCCTCTACTAGAGGATTGTATACATCTAAGTCGTGTGCGTTTGAGGGTTGGTTTCTCCTTTTCAGAGCTCTTTGGTGGACATTTTTATGTTACAATAGCTTTTCAAGCAGGGCCTTTATTTTTCCACATTTTAAGGTTTATAAGGGAGATATCTTGGCATGTCTCGTAGGGATTGACGCTCTACTCCGGGGTATCATCCTCTGGTGGTGCGGTTCCTGAAAGGTGTGCGCCTGCTCAGACCAGTGTCTAAGCCTATGGCACCGACCTGGGACCAGGCTTTGGTCCTCGACACTCTGTGTGAGCCACCATTGGCATCTGTGGACCTGAAGGTCCTTTCCTACAAGCCTGCCCTATTCATGGCCTTGGCATCAGTCAAGTGTGTTGGGGATCTCCACACACTTATCAGTACACACTTCCTGTTTGGAGTTCGCGCCTGGCGACTCAAGTGATGTTATGTCCTAATGCAGCTTTTGCTCCCAAGGTCTTACAGGTTTGAGCTGTTCCCTGTCTCACCTCCTCCGCTTGCTTCCAGTGAACAACGGAGGTAGCATGACCTGTGTCCGGTGTGCGCTTTACGCACGTATATGGATAGGACCAAGGATATCTGCGTTTGTGACCAGCTTTTTGTCTGTTTCGCTAATCCAGCTTTCTAAGCAGCGTCTTTCTAATTGGCTTATGACAGCAAAGGACAAGGGTTTCCTAGCGTTGTGCACGGTCACTCCACTATGGGTGTGGCGGCTTCTTGGGCATTGTTCAGGGGCATGACGATTGGTGATATCTTGCTGCACCGAGTTGGGGTTCCTCACATGCCTGTGTGAGGTTTTATCGCTTAGATGTAACTGCTCCCAGTGTGGCTCATAGTGTTCTTATGGCTGGTTCCGGGAGTGGGTGTTAGGCAGTGCGCAAGTTATCCAGGTTACCAATGTTCACTGTGAGTTTGAGCCTTGGGCTGCCGTGGCAGCGCGCGAGTACACAGTTTCTAGTTTATTGCAGGAACCTGTGGGTTTGAGCCTCGGGCTGCCGTGGTTCATCGGCTCTGGTCAATGCTATGCAGCACGCGTGTGCATGTTTACCAAGTTCCCTATATGGTGCTCTGACAGTTCAGGCGTCATAAGGCTCTGACCCCTTTTTGGAGCCTGTGGAACGTGTGCTTGGGCTGCCATGGGCCTCCTAGTTTGGTACCCTCTTAGCCGTCTTGTGGGGTGATTGTATGTTCCTATAGTATGTTATACAGTGACCGACTGAAAGGGAACGTACAGTTGTGAATATAACTACTGTTCCCTGAAGGAGGGAATGAGGTATACATATTTTAGCCCCACGCCGTCAGGTACTGAATTGAGGAAAGGAATGCGAGCCCCAGTATTATAGCCAGGAAGGTGGGGCTTCCGAGGGCGGTCTTGGCATCCGTTGGGCTGATTTCAGTTTTCTTCAGGTGAATATGATTTGTCGTTGACTCCCTATAGTATGTTATAGTGTGGTGAGGAGGAGTGTAGTGTGTCCGGAAGCGAATTCACCATTCATTTTCGGTGTACAGGGTTCACTCAAACATCGCTTTACTTTACTATTGCCAGTTACAGCTGATTTGGGGATTGTATATCAATTTGCTCTCCTTAAATATGTCATCTGATTTATTCATTTCAGTCTCTGAATTGTTTAATCAAACTTTCCGCCGCCAGTGCCTGATATCAGGACATAGAAACTACAATCTGTCTCCTGAATTAGCCTAGTGTGCATGTGTGCCCAGCTGGCACACACAAACACTAGGCCCAAGCTAGTTTTCTTCGGTTTTCCCTGGCTAAACTAGCTGGCTAGCTGACTTCATAAATACTGCACCCTCAACTTCAAAACTCATTTGCTAGCTATACAATCATGTAACTAAAAATTTACTGGAAAGAAACTTGAAAATTATGTATTGTTTTGTTGAATAGTCATGACTGGTTCAAGATAGGATATCGTTACTACTTAAAGCGGATCCAAGTTCAGTTTTTGAGATCCACCGGCATCATTGTCGTAGGGTTAGCTGGACGTTTCTGACTGGTCTTGGAGCTGTGACAACGGGTAGCCTCTCCCCTCTTAGCTCGATGGGATACATAGTGATTTTGCCAACACATAAACATATGTACACAGTCTTGTACCCTTAACCTTTTTTCAACTGACTATCATATTTTTTTATTTAAATCAGACTTTACTAATATGAGTAATCCAGGAATGTCACGAGTTAATTGACACGAGAAAACTTGAGAAAAAAGCAACTGTACAGATCGCAATGGCTAAATTATTTCCGGACACTAAGAGTCCGCGGAGCTTGTCCTCATCACCAATCTACAGTGCCTTGCAAAAGTATTCATCCCCCTTGGCATATTTTTTCCTATTTTGTTGCATTACAACCTGTAATTTAAATTGATTTTTATTTGGATTTCATGTAATAGACATACACAAAATAGTCCAAATTGGTGAAGTAAAATGAAAAAAATAAAGTTAAAAAAAGTCAAAAAATAACGGAAAATTGGTGCGTGCATATGTATTCACCCCCTTTGCTATGAAGCCCCTAAATAAGATCTGGTGGAACCAATTACCTTCAGAAGTCACATAATTAATTGTACACAGGTGGACTTTATTTAAGTGTCACATGATCTGTCATATGATCTCAGTATATATACACCTGTTCTGAATGGCCCCAGAGTCTGCAACACCACTAAGCAAGGGGCACCACCAAGCAAGCGGCACCATGAAGACCAAGGAGCTCTCCAAACAGGTCAGCGACAAAGTTGTGGAGAAGTACAGATCAGGGTTTGGTTGTAATTTATTTTAGCAGAAACCTTGAACATCCCACAGAGCACCATTAAATCCATTATTAAACAATTTAAAGAATATGGCAGCACAACAAACCTGCCAAGAGAGGGCTGCCCACCAAAACTCACGGACCAAGCAAGGAGGGCATTAATCAGAGAGGCAACAAAGCTCCACAGCAGAGATTTTAGTATCTGTCCATAGGACCACTTTAAGCCGTACACTCCACAGAGCTGGGCTTTACGGAAGAGTGGCCAGAAAAAGCCATTGCTTAAAGAAAAAAATAAGCAAACACGTTTGGTGTTCGCCAAAAGGCATGTGGGAGACTCCCCAAACATATGGAAGAAGGTACTCTGGTCAGATGAGACTAAAATTGAGCTTTTTGGCCATCAAGGAAAACGCTATGTCTGGCGCATACCCAACACCTCTCATCACCCCGAGAACACCATCCCCACAGTGAAGCGTGGTGGCAGCATCATGCTGTGGGGATGTTTTTCATCGGCAGGGACTGGGAAACTGGCCAGAATTAAAGGAATGATGGATGGCGCTAAATACAGGGAAATTCTTGAGGGAAACCTGTTTCAGTCTTCCAGAGATTTGAGACTGGGACGGAGGTTCACCTTCCAGCAGGACAATGACCCTAAGCATACTGCTAAAGCAACACTCGAGTGATTTAAGGGGAAACATTTAAATGTCTTGGAATGGCCTAGTCAAAGCCCAGACCTCAATCCAATTGAGAATCTGTGGTATGACTTAAAGATTGTTGTACACCAGCGGAACCCATCCAACTTGAAGGAGCTGGAGCAGTTCTGCCTTGAAGAATGGGCAAACATCCCAGTGGGGGGGGGGAGTGAATAGTTATGCACGCTCAAGTTTTCTGTTTTTTTGTCTTATTTCTTGTTTGTTTCACAAGAAAAAATATTTTGCATCTTCAAAGTGGTAGGTATGTTGTGTAAATCAAATGATACAAACCCCCCCCAAAAATCAATTTTCATTCCAGGTTGTAAGGCAACAAAATAGGAAAAATACCAAGGGGGGTGAATACTTTCGCAAGCCACTGTATACCTCAATTCTTCCTTAAGGGAACAGTAGTTAACTGTCCGTTTTCCCTTTTATGAACCTCTCTCTGTCTTATGAAACTGTCCAAAGTCATATTTTGTATAGCTCCCCAGGGCTGCGACTGAACACTAGGTTAAATTGATCTGAACTCAACATTATATTTCAATTACTCTTCTGATTATTGAGGTAATTAACAGTGGCCCTCTGAGCTCTGCTCATTCACTCCTCCCTCTCTCGCTCTTTCCTTCTTTCTCTCTTTCCTTCTCTCCCCCTCTCTCTTGCCCTAAGCCACAGAGGAGACACAGCACAGTATAAATACAGTGAGCCATGTAGACATCTCATTTTCAACTCAGTTGGTTTTATTGGCCTGACAAAAAATGGTCCTGCCCTGGTGCCAACGTGTACACAACAATACGTCTTCAATCTTTTACTTTTACTTTCTGAATCTCTCACAGTCCCTCACTCCCCCCTCCCCCCCAGCCACTTCTCGTGCCCACTACAATGGAGGGAGAGTAAAAAGAGGTGCTCCAAGCAGAACACGAGAATGGAGACATGCATAAATAACAATAACACCAGGTTCAGAACTTTTGTAAAACATCACAGTACAGTTGAAAAATATATGGCAAATAGAAATCCAATATGGATGGTGTTAAGAGATAGATGGGTGGTGTTGAATGGAGTTGAAGGATGGGACTAATAACAACTAACAACAACTAATAACAACAAGATAACTAATAATGTAAGCATACTGTGTCCATAATAAGTATATAGGTTATAGGTTGAGAGCTTTTGTGAAAGAGCACCGTTAGAAAGATATGGCATATAGAAGCAAACCGGATGGACATCATGAAAATGATCGGAGAGGTTGAGGGTAGAGGAAGTTCAGGAGTAAAAACAAACAAAATAGAATTATTGTAAAATTGACTGTGTCCATAAAATGTATATAGTATGTATAAGCTGGAAGTAGAGGCCTAAGCATTGTTGTTCACTAGTTTACTCCAATTAGGGAAGGGGTGGTGGGGTTGGAAAGTAATAAAGGGAAATATATTTTAAAGAGGGAATTAGGTATTTGATCCCCTGCTGATTTTGTACGTTTGCCCACTGACAAAGACATGATCAGTCTATAATTTTAATGGTAGTTTTATTTGAACAGTGAGACAGAATAACAACAAAAAAATCCAGAAAAACGCATGTCAAAAATGTTGTAAATAGATTTGCATTTTAATGAGGGAAATAAGTATTTGACCCCTCTGCAAAACATTACTTAGTACTTGGTGGCAAAACCCTTGTTGGCAATCACGGAGGTCAGATGTTTCTTGTAGTTGGCCACCAGGTTTACACACATCTCAGGAGGGATTTTGTCCCACTCCACTTTGCAGATCTTCTCCAAGTCATTAAGGTTTCGAGGCTGACGTTTGGCAACTCGAACCTTCAGCTCCCTCCACAGATTTTCTATGGGATTAAGGTCTGGAGACTGGCTAGGCCACTCCAGGACCTTAATGTGCTTCTTCTTGAGCCACTCCTTCGTTGCCCGGGCGGTGTGTTTGGGATCATTGTCATGCTGAAAGACCCAGCCACGTTTCATCTTCAATGCCCTTGCTGATGGAAGGAGGTTTTCACTCAAAATCTCACGATACATGGCCCCATTCATTCTTTCCTTTACACGGATCAATCGTCCTGGTCCCTTTGCAGAAAAACAGCCCCAAAGCATGATGTTTCCACCCCCATGCTTCACAGTAGGTATGGTGTTCTTTGGATGCAACTCAGCATTCTTTGTCCTCCAAACACGACGAGTTGAGTTTTTACCAAAAAGTTCTATTTTGGTTTCATCTGACCATATGACATTCTCCCAATCCTCTTCTGGATCATCCAAATGCACTCTAGCAAACTTCAGACGGGCCTGGACATGTACTGGCTTAAGCAGGGGGACACGTCTGGCACTGCAGGATTTGAGTCCCTGGCGGCGTAGTGTGTTACTGATGGTAGGCTTTGTTACTTTGGTCCCAGCTCTCTGCAGGTCATTCACTAGGTCCCCCCGTGTGGTTCTGGGATTTTTGCTCACCATTCTTGTGATCATTTTGACCCCACGGGGTGAGATCTTGCGTGGAGCCCCAGATCGAGGGAGATTATCAGTGGTCTTGTATGTCTTCCATTTCCTAATAATTGCTCCCACAGTTGATTTCTTCAAACCAAGCTGCTTACCTATTGCAGATTCAGTCTTCCCAGCCTGGTGCAGGTCTAAAATTTTGTTTCTGGTGTCCTTTGACAGCTCTTTGGTCTTGACCATAGTGGAGTTTGGAGTGTGACTGTTTGAGGTTGTGGACAGGTGTCTTTTATACTGATAACAAGTTCAAACAGGTGCCATTAATACAGGTAACGAGTGGAGGACAGAGGAGCCTCTTAAAGAAGAAGTTACAGGTCTGTGAGAGCCAGAAATCTTGCTTGTTTTTAGGTGACCAAATACTTATTTTCCACCATAATATGCAAAGAAATTCATTAAAAATCCTACAATGTGATTTTCTGGAGAAAAAAAAATCTCTGTCTGTCATAGGTAACCTGTACCTATGATGAAAATTACAGGCCTCTCTCATCTTTTTAAGTGGGAGAACTTGCACAATTGGTGGCTGACTAAATACTTTTCCCCCCCCACTGTGTGTATATATATATATATATATATATGTATATATGTATGTATGTGAGAGAAAAAAAACATATGGGGGATTGGAAGTGATGCAGACAATTACATTGATGGAAGTTACAATCTATCTGCAATATTAAAGCTGATCTACCCCCTAAAAAAAAAAAAAAAAAAAAAAACTAACACCACACTCAGAAGAGGTATTCTTTTTCTGAGGGTGTATGAGGTTACGAGCGTGTGTGTGTGTGTTGGCATGGCTTGCCGGCTTGTCAGGCTGATGTAGTGTTTAAACTGGGACAAGTGAGAGCGGCGAGCTACATGGGTTTGCTGCTGGCTAGTGTAAATATTATGGTGATTTGGCTCAGGAGTTGTCCTGTTTTGTCAGAGAGAGACAGAACACAGGGTCTTAGTTTCAGCCCTGTTCCCACTGCTGGCTCTGTCCTGGTCCCTGTCATCATGGCTGACGATGGGCCTCAGAGACCTGGCCCTTAACCATACTCTGAGGCCCTCCTCTGTCCTTTGCTCCTTCCCTTTACAGGGTAGGCGGGCCCGCTCAGCCAGTTTTTCAGGCTCTGTGGTGGCTGAAAGCTCCTGGCACAGCCGTGCGTTTGAGAAGGTTCACACACACTACTGAGCCTGTGTGTGTGCGTGCGTGTGTCTTTTGAACGTGGCATTTTACCACACACACACAGAGAGCCACTATGGAGCTTTTGTGCACGTGTTTATGCAAGCGCGCTTGTGCGTGTACACGTATCCCCTCAGTTCCACTACTCACAGACCTGCAGGTAGGGTAACGCTCTGTGTGTGTGTGGTAAAACGCTGAAATGTGGCCTGCAGCCTTTTGTTGATCCTTGTGTAAAAAAGCATGATGCAAGCAATCTAATAGTATTTTTTTAGTGTGCAGTAGCTGTAGACCTTTGGTATAATTGTAGGGATAGGCCTAATGGCGGAGTACTTGGAGTGGGTTTGCAACTTGCATATTTGTTTGTTAGTTAGGCCCATCTCTGCCCTTGCAACATACAGTTGAAGTCGGAAGTTTACATACACCTTAGCCAAATACACTGCTCAAAAAAATAAAGGGAACACTAAAATAACACATCCTAGATCTGAATGAATGAAATAATCTTATTAAATACTTTTTTCTTTAGGTCTGGATTTGGAGTCGCTCTCAAAATTAAAGTGGAAAACCACACTACAGGCTGATCCAACTTTGATGTAATGTCCTTAAAACAAGTCAAAATGAGGCTCAGTAGTGTGTGTGGCCTCCACGTGCCTGTATGACCTCCCTACAACGCCTGGGCATGCTCCTGATGAGGTGGTGGATGGTCTTCTGAGGGATCTCCTCCCAGACCTGGACTAAAGCATCCGCCTACTCCTGGACAGTCTGTGGTGCAACGTGGCGTTGGTGGATGGAGCGAGACATGATGTCCCAGATGTGCTCAATTGGATTCAGGTCTGGGGAACGGGCAGGCCAGTCCATAGCATCAATGCCTTCCTCTTGCAGGAACTGCTGACACACTCCAGCCACATGAGGTCTAGCATTGTCTTGCATTAGGAGGAACCCAGGGCCAACCGCACCAGCATATGGTCTCACAAGGGGTCTGAGGATCTCATCTCGGTACCTAATGGCAGTCAGGCTACCTCTGGTGAGCACATGGAGGGCTGTGCGGCCCCCCAAAGAAATGCCACCCCACACCATGACTGACCCACCACCAAACCGGTCATGCTGGAGGATGTTGCAGGCAGCAGAACGTTCTCCACGGCGTCTCCAGACTCTGTCACGTCTGTCACATGTGCTCAGTGTGAACCTGCTTTCATCTGTGAAGAGCACAGGGCGCCAGTGGCGAATTTGCCAATCTTGGTGTTCTCTGGCAAATGCCAAACGTCCTGCACGGTGTTGGGCTGTAAGCACAACCCCCACCTGTGGACGTCGGGCCATCATACCACCCTCATGGAGTCTGTTTCTGACCGTTTGAGCAGACACATGCACATTTGTGGCCTGCTGGAGGTCATTTTGCAGGGCTCTGGCAGTGCTCCTCCTTGCATAAAGGTGGAGGTAGCAGTCCTGCTGCTGGGTTGTTGCCCTCCTACGGCCTCCTCCACGTCTCCTGATGTACTGGCCTGTCTCCTGGTAGCGCCTCCATGCTCTGGACACTACGCTGACAGACACAGCAAACCTTCTTGCCACAGCTCGCATTGATGTGCCATCCTGGATGAGCTGCACTACCTGAGCCACTTGTATGGGTTGTAGACTCCGTCTCATGCTACCACTAGAGTGAAAGCACCGCCAGTATTCAAAAGTGACCAAAACATCAGCCAGGAAGCATAGGAACTGAGAAGTGGTCTGTGGTCACCACCTGCAGAACCACTCCTTTATTGGGGGTGTCTTGCTATTTGCCTATAATTTCCACCTGTTGTCTAACCATTTGCATAACAGCATGTGAAATGTATTGTCAATCAGTGTTGCTTCCTAAGTGGACAGTTTGATTTCACAAAAGTGTGATTGACTTGGAGTTACATTGTGTTGTTTAAGTGTTCCCTTTATTTTTTTGAGCAGTGTACATTTAAACTCAGTTTTTCACAATTCCTGACATTTAATCCTAATAAGAATTCCCTGTCTTAGGTCAGTTAGGATCACCACTTTATTTTAAGAATGTAAAATGTCAGAATAATAGTAGAGAGAATGATTTATTTCAGCTTTTATTTCTTTCATCACATTCCCAGTGGGTCAGAAGTTTACATACACTCAATAAGTATTTGGTAGCATTGCCTTTAAATTGTTTAACTTGGGTCAAACGTTTCGGGTAGCCTTCCACAAGCTTCCCACAATAAGTTGGGTGAATGTTGGCCCATTCCTCCTGACAGAGCTGGTGTAACTGAGTCAGGTTTGTAGGCCTCCTTGCTCGCGCATGCTTTTTCAGTTCTGCCCATACATTTTCTATAGGTTGAGGTCAGGGCTTTGTGATGGCCACTCCAATACCTTGACTTTGTTGTCCTTAAGCCATTTTGCCACAACTTTGGAAGTATGCTTGGGGTCATTGTCCATTTGGAAGACCCATTTGCGACCAAGCTTTAACTTCCTAACTGATGTCTTGAGATGTTGCTTCAATATATCCACATCATTTTCCTTCCTCATGATGCCATCTATTTTGTGAAGTGCACCAGTCCCTCCTGCAGCAAAGCACCCCCACAGCATGATGCTGCCACCCCCGTGCTTCACGGTTGGGATGGTGTTCTTCGGCTTGCAAGTTTCCCCCCTTTTCCTCCAAACATAATGATGGTTATTATGGCCAAACAGTTCTATTTTTGTTTCATCAGACCAGAGGACATTTCTCCAAAATGTACGATCTTTGTCCCCATGTGCAGTTGCAAACTGTAGTCTGGCTTTTTTATGGCGGTTTTGGAGCTGTGGCATCTTCCTTGCTGAGCGGCCTTTCAGGTTATGTCGATATAGGACTAATTTTACTGTGGATATAGATACTTTTGTACCTGTTTCCTCCAGCATCTTCACAAGGTCCTTTGCTGTTGTTCTGGGATTGATTTGCACTTTTCGCACCAAAGTACGTTCATCTCTAGGAGACAGAACGCGTCTCCTTCCTGAGTGGTATGACGGCTGCGTGGTCCCATTTTGTTTATACTTGCGTACTATTGTTTGTACAGATGAACGTGGTACCTTCAGGCGTTTGGAAATTGCTCCCAAGGAGTGTGGAGGTCTTCAATGTTTTTTCTGAGGTCTTGGCTGATTTCTTTTGATTTTCCCATGATGTCAAGCAAAGAGGCACTGAGTTTGAAGGTAGGCCTTGAAATACATCCACAGGTACACCTCCAATTGACTCAAATGATTTTCTGGAATTTTCCAAGCTGTTTAAAGGCACAGTCAACTTAGTGTATGTAAACTTCTGACCCACTGGAATCGTGATACAGTGAATTATAAGTGAAATAATCTGTATGTAAACAATTGTTGGAAAAATTACTTGTCATGCACAAAGTAGATGTCCTAGCCTACTTGCCAAAACTATAGTTTGTTAACAAGGAATGTGTGGAGTGGTTGAAAAACGAGTTTTAATGACTCCAACCTAAGTGTATGTAAACTTTCGACTTCAACTGTATCTTTGTATTGATATCATCGGATGAGAGTGTATGTGTGTGTGTGTGTGTGTGTAAATGAAGGTTGTGTGTGTGTGTGAGTGAGTGAGTGAGTGCTGGATCCGGCTTGTGTCTTAGCTGGCAGTGCAAGCTTGTCACATTGACACACTTCCACATCTGTTCCTAGCTGACAGGCCTGCATTGTCCACATCCCCTCTGCTCTACTAACACACAGCCCAAACACTATTGACCTGGCTAGGATTGCACACCGAGGACAGTGACATTCCTAACTAGATATCCATTCATTGGAACAGGAATTTTCACACAATTATCCCATAAGATTCAGTCAGGAGAGCTAGAGGATTTCATTCTCTTTCTCTCACTCACTTTCTCTCTCACTCACTCACTCACTCACACACCGTCTGCCCTCACACCGTCTGCACTCTTAAGAAATGAGCCCAGCCAGACTCCATGGTCTGAGCCATAATTGAGTTGCTCCAACCCTGACACGAACATGCAGTCCACAGTGCCTGAGCAGCCTGGGCTGCAGTGATAAGGGACAGGTGACTCTGTTGGCCACCAACCCATCCTCTGTAGTCAGGCAGAATTGGGCTGCTGCCAATGAGATAACTGTGTGTGTGTGTGCCTCTAGCCCGCCCCCCCAGAAGAATCCCCTCTCACTCGCTGGACCTTTACGAAAGACCTGTGTAAGCTCCCCTCAGCCTCAGAAGATTAATGCTATTTAGCCAAGAAAGCTGTGAAAGACACACACACACACACATACACCAAAAATACACCCACACATACCGCTCATACAAACATGCAAACAGAACAGACACCACAGTGCACACATACAGTGAGGGAAAAAAGTATTTGATCCCCTGCTGATTTTGTACGTTTGCCCACTGACAAAGAAATGATCAGTCTATAATTTTAATGGTAGGTTTATTTGAACAGTGAGAGACAGAATAACAACAACAAAATCCAGAAAAACACATGTCAAAAATGTTATAAATTGATTTGCATTTTAATGAGGGAAATAAGTATTTGACCCCCTCTCAATCAGAAAGATTTCTGTCTCCCAGGTGTCTTTTATACAGGTAACGAGCTGAGATTAGGAGCACACTCTTAAAGGGAGTGCTCCTAATCTCAGTTTGTTACATGTATAAAAGACACCTGTCCACAGAAGCAATCAATCAGATTCCAAACTCCACCTTGCCAAGACCAAAGAGCTCTCCAAGGATGTCAGGGACAAGATTGTAGACCTACACAAGGCTGGAATGGGCTACAAGACCATCGCCAAGCAGCTTGGTGAGAAGGTGACAACAGTTGGTGCGATTATTCGCAAATGGAAGAAACACAAAATAACTGTCAATTTTCCTCAGCCTGGGGCTCCATGCAAGATCTCACCTCGTGGAGTTGCAATTATCATGAGAACTACACGGGATGATCTTGTCAATGATCTCAAGGCAGCTGGGACCATAGTCACCAAGAAAACAATTGGTAACACACTACGCCGTGAAGGACTGAAATCCTGCAGCGCCCACAAGGTCCCCCTGCTCAAGAAAGCACATATACAGGCCCGTCTGAAGTTTGCCAATGAACATCTGAATAATTCAGAGGAGAACTGGGTGAAAGTGTTGTGGTCAGATGAGACCAAAATCGAGCTCTTTGGCATCAACTCAACTCGCCGTGTTTGGAGGAGAAGGAATGCTGCCTATGACCCCAAGAACACCATCCCCACCGTCAAACATGGAGGTGGAAACATTATGCTTTGGGGGTGTTTTTCTGCTAAGGGGACAGGAAAACTTCACCGCATCAAAGGGACGATGGACGGGGCCATGTACCGTCAAATCTTGGGTGAGAACCTCCTTCCCTCAGCCAGGGCATTGAAAATGGGTCGTGGATGGGTATTCCAGCATGACAATGACCCAAAACACACGGCCAAGGCAACAAAGGAGTGGCTCAAGAAGAAGCACATTAAGGTCCTGGAGTGGCCTAGCCAGTCTCCAGACCTTAATCCCATAGAAAATCTGTGGAGGGAGCTGAAGGTTCGAGTTGCCAAACGTCAGCCTCGAAACCTTAATGACTTGGAGAAGATCTGCAAAGAGGAGTGGGACAACATCCCTCCTGAGATGTGTGCAAACCTGGTGGCCAACTACAAGAAACGTCTGACCTCTGTGATTGCCAACAAGGGTTTTGTCACCAAGTACTAAGTTATGTTTTGCAGAGGGGTCAAATACTTATTTCCCTCCATTAAAATGCAAATCAATTTATAACATTTTTGACATGCGTTTTTCTGGATTTTTTTGTTGTTATTCTGTCTCTCACTGTTCAAATAAACCTACCATTAAAATTATAGACTGATCATGTCTTTGTCAGTGGGCAAACGTACAAAATCAGCAGGGGATCAAATACTTTTTTCCCTCACTGTACGCTCACACTATTCAGTCAACACACAGACACACACTCCTCTCTGCACACCTGGTGCTTTGTGCAGTGGCCAGACAGCTCGCTGGAGGAAAGCTGGGTCTGAAGTAAACAATGCCCTCCTGTCAACTTCAAACGAGGGGAGGAACACAGAGGAGGGACAAGGAGAGGAGGAGGAGTGTCGGCAGCCTTTTGATGCTTTGGACCATTTCTCTCTACTCATCTATTCTCTGGTCTCCCATTACTCTCTCTCCATTTTACTCTCTCTCTCCATCCTGTTTCTCTCTGTATTTTTCTTCCTATCTGACCCCCTCTTTTCTGTCTTTGTATCTCTCTCTCTGTATCTCTCTCTTTCTCTCTCTGTATCTCTCTCTCACGCTCTCTGTATCTCTCTCTCTCTGTATCTCTCTCTCTCTCTCTGTATCTCTCTCTCTCTGTATCTCTCTCTCTCTCTCTCTGTATCTCTCTCTCTCTATCTCTCTCTCTCTGTATCGCTCTCTCTCTCTGTATCGCTCTCTCTCTGTGGATCTCTGTATCTGAATGTCTGTCTCTGTATGTCTCTGTATCTCTCTCTGTATCTCTCTCTCTCTCTCTCTGTATCTCTCTCTCTCTCTCTGTATCTCTCTCTCTCTCTCTCTCTCTCTCTGTATCTCTCTCTCTGAATGTCTCTGTCTCTGAATGTCTCTGTATCTGAATGTCTCTGTAGCTCTCTGTCTCTGTAGCTCTCTGTCTCTGTAGCTCTCTGTCTCTAGCTCTGTCTCTGTAGCTCTCTGTCTCTGTATGTCTCTCTCTCTGTATGTCTCTGTATCTCTCTCTTTCTCTCTCTCTCTGTATCTCTCTCTCTCTGTATCTTTCTGTCTCTGTATATCTCTCTCTGTATTTATCTCTGTATCTGTATTTATCTCTCTTTGTATCTCTCTGTCTCATCAACAGGACTTAGCCTCTGTATTATTTGACTGCCTGTGGGTTTATAGGTGTTGGTGGTGGCTGCTGCTGCCATGCTGTCTGTGACAGTGTTTTCCTTTGTGCCTGTGACAATAGTGTGTGACTGACAGTCTGCCTGTGACAGTGTATCGCCGTGACTGACAGTGTGACAGTCTGATAGTCTGTGCCTGTGACATTGTACGTGCGACTGACACTCCTTCTCCTCAGTGACAGGCTGAGAGGTTGGGATTGTGTAGCTTTCTCCCAGTCATCATTAAAATACAATGCCTCTGTCAACCAATGTAATTATCTCTCAAAAGCTGCTATGTCTCTGTCTTTCCACTCTCTTCTCCCTCTCCCACCCACCACCTCTCTCTTCTCTATCCGTCTCTAGGTGAGAGTGCGATGTGGAGAGGAGCCAGAGAGTGAGGCGATGGGCTGCACCTCTGCTAAGCAGGTGTCGGCCGTGCCCAGCGATGAGGAGGGCCGGGGCAAGGCCTACAGCAACGGAGACCTCTTCACCGGTCAGTACATCTCTCACACACACACACACACACACACACACACACACACACACACACACACACACACACACACTAGCGATGAGGAGGGCCGGGGCAAGGCCTACAGCAACAGAGACCTTTTCATCAGTCAGCACACAGTATCATACAGTGCACACTCTACACTCCAGCCACACCTGTAGCCATGTCTATATACACCTGCCTGTCTAATATCTTTACACTCTACGCCAGCTGCTGACCAGGCTACCTTTACCTGTAAAACATCCTCCCCATCTGTAGGATATCCCATAGAAATAGATTTACACGATATCCTTCCTGTAATCCATCTACTCATTTACATTACATTTTAGTCATTTAGCAGACGCTCTTATCCAGAGCGACTTACAGGAGCAATTAGGGTTAAGTGCCTTGCTCAAGGGCACATTAACGTCATTTAGCAGACGCTCTTAGCCAGAGCGACTCACAAATTGGTGCGTTCACCCTATAGCCAGTGGGATAACCACTGGGGGGGGTAGAAGGATTCCTTTATCCTATCCCAGGTATTCCTTAAAGAGGTGGGGTTTCAAATGTCTCCGGAAGGTGGTGAGTGACTCCGCTGTCCTGGCGTCGTGAGGGAGCTTGTTCCACCATTGGGGTGCCAGAGCAGCGAACAGTTTTGACTGGGCTGAGCGGGAACTATGCTTCCGCAGAGGAAGGGGAGCCAGCAGGCCAGAGGTGGATGAGCGCAATGCCCTCGTTTGGGTGTAGGGACTGATCAGAGCCTGAAGGTACAGAGGTGCCGTTCCCCTCACTGCTCCATAGGCAAGCACCATGGTCTTGTAGCGGATGCGAGCTTCAACTGGAAGCCAGTGGAGTGTGCGGAGGAGGGGGGTGACGTGAGAGAACTTGGGAAGGTTGAACACCAGACGGGCTGCGGCATTCTGGATGAGTTGTAGGGGTTTAATGGCACAGGCAGGGAGGCCAGCCAACAGCGAGTTGCAGTAGTCCAGACGGGAGATGACAAGTGCCTGGATTAGGACCTGTGCCGCTTCCTGTGTAAGGCAGGGTCGTACTCTCCGAATGTTGTAGAGCATGAACCTGCAGGAGCGGGTCACCGCCTTGATGTTGGCGGAGAACGACAGGGTGTTGTCCAGGGTCACGCCTAGGCTCTTCGCACTCTGGGAGGAGGACACAGAGGAGTTGTCAACCGTGATGGCGAGATCATGGAATGGGCAGTCCTTCCCCGGGAGGAAGAGCAGCTCCGTCTTGCCAGGGTTCAGCTTGAGGTGGTGATCCGTCATCCATACTGATATGTCTGCCAGACATGCAGAGATGCGATTCGCCACCTGGTTATCAGAAGGGGGAAAGGAGAAGATTAGTTGTGTATCGTCAGCGTAGCAATGATAGGAGAGACCATGTGAGGATATGACAGAGCCAAGTGACTTGGTACTCCATGTCCACTCCACACACACTGGCCTGCTGGCTATGTTACCTGTATTACCTCTCCTCTAGTCTCACTCTATACCCAATCTTTATTCTACATGGGCGGCTTGACAATTTCACCTCTAGTCTGACTTTTTTAAATGAGTACATCTGGCTATACATTTTATTAATGAATGCCAAGTTTCCGACACGGGCAGTGCAGATTTGAGAAAAAGGCAATATTAGTGTCATGTTACCCATTTTATTTCTCTTCCTCCCACCTGTGCAAAAATGACTTGGTGCAGTAGCCTCTAGGATAGCTGAGTGGTTTTGGTGTTGTGTGTCCTCTTAGTACTTTTAGAGCTTGGACATTGAGAGAGAGGGTTAAGAAAGTGTATCTAGTTAACAGCATCACTTATAGCTGCTTGCTGGGTGTTGTGGCTAGGTTTAGAGAGAGGGAGAGAGGATGAGGGATTGGAGACAGATTAAGAATTAGGAGCAACACGCTGGAATAACCACACAGGAAATGGCAGATGACGAGCCACGGGAGGCCTCGGTCTGTTCTCCCTCTCTATTACTATATTCCTCCCTCACTCTCTCTCGTTCTCTATCACTCTATCCCTCCCTCTATTACTCTCTATCCTCCCTCTCTCTGTTGGACACATACAGTCATTGGTCTGACCTTCTTTGTGCCTCTCTCATTCCTCTGTCCCTCTCTCCTTTTGACTTTCTTTCTGACTCTCCCCCTCTATTAGTCATTCCTCTTTTTTTAAGGAATGGCTGCATCGTGACAATTGATTGGAGGAGGAGGGGAAATATTCCTTGAGAGAGGAAGATGACGTGGGTTAAAGATTCTCTTTTTCCCTTCTCGGTTCATCTGCATCTCCTCCTCCCTTTCCTCTCCAAGGCTTCACTTTCTTGCCTTCCTCCTTTCCTTCCTTCCTTCCTTCCTTCCTCTCTCTCTTTCTCCGTATTAAACCATCTCTCTCCTTCTTCTCCATGTCCTCCCCGGCCGCTTCAACGACTCCCTCCCTTTCCTTCCTCTCCATCTCTTCCTCTCTCCCCTATCGCAGCATTGGGTCACGGCTCCCTCCCCTCCTCCGTCCATCGTTACCTTACTTACTCACACACACAATAACAGGAAAGGCTGAGCTCCCTTACACAAACACTGGGGAAAAGAGAGGAAATGGCAACACTTTCTGAAGAAGTGTGTTGCCTTATTTTTTTGTTTTAGCACGTCACTTGTTGTCATGTTGCAATTTAACGATTTGATTTGTAGTTGGCCAGACTGTTGTGAGTGGGCGTATTAGTTGCATTGTAGTGTAAATATAGTCGCTATTGGCCTGTTGTTGTATCGACATTCAGAACTGCAAATGAAATATGAAGCGTCACGCAGCTCACTACATTATGTAATTCAGAACGGATCTAACTGATTTTACACTGATAAAAAATGAACGCAACAATTTCTACGATTTTACTGAGTTACAGTTCATATAAGGAAATCAGTGAACTTAAATTAATTAATTAATTAATTAGGCCCTAATCTACGGATTTCACATGACTGGGAATACAGACATGCATCTGATGGTCACAGATGCAGTGCATTCGGAAAGTATTCAGACCCCTTCCCTTTTTCCACATTTTGTTATGTTACAGCCTTATTCTAAAATTGATTAAAAAAATTAATTGTTTTCCTCATCAATCTACACACAATACCCCATAATGACGAAGCGATAAAACAGATTTTTTTGAAACTTTTGTAAATGTATTAAAAATAAAAAACAGAAATACCTTATTTACATAAGTATTCAGACCCTTTGCTAGGAGACTCGAAATTGAGCTCAGGTGCATCCTGTTTCCTTTGATCATCCTTGAGATGTTTCTACAACTTGATTGGAGGCCACCCGTGGTAAATTAAGTTGATTGGACATGATTTCGAAAGGCACACACAGTTGACAGTGCATGTCAGAGCAAAAACCAAGCCATGAGGTCGAAGGAATTGTCCGTAGAGCTCCGAGACAGCATTGCGTCGAGGCACAGATCTTGGGAAGGGTACCAAAAAATGTCTGCAGCATTGAAGATCCCCAAGAACACAGTGGCCTCCATCATTCTTAAATTGAATAAGTTTTGAACCACCAAGAGTCTTCCTAGAGCTAGCCGCCCAGCCAAACTGAGCAATCGGGGAAGAAGGGTCTTGGTCAGGGAGATGACCAAGAGCCTAATGGACACTCTGACAGAGCTCCAGAGTTCCTCTGTGGAGATGGTTGTCCTTCTGGAAGGTTTTCCCATCTCTGCAGCACTCCATCAATCAGGCCTTTATGGTAGAGTAGCCAGACGGAAGCCACTCCTCAGTAAAAGGCACATGACAGCCCGCTTGGAGTTTGCCAAAAGGCACCTAAAGGACTCTCAGACCATGAGAAACAAGATTCTCTGGTCTGATGAAACCAAGATTGAACTATTTGGCCTGAATGCCAAGCGTCACGTCTGGAGGAAACCTGGCACCATCCCTGCGGTGAAGCATGGTGGTGGCAGCATAAGTCTGTGGGGAAGTTTTTCAGCGACAGGGACTGGGAGACTAGTCAGGATCGAGGGAAAGATGAACGGAGCAAAGTACAGAGAGATCCTTGATGAAAACCTGCTCCAGAGCACTCAGGACCTCAGACTGGGGGCGAAGGTTCACCTTCCAACAAGACGACAACCCTAAGCACACAGCCAAGACAACGCAGGAGTGGCTTCGGGACAAGTCTCTGAATGTACTTGAGTTAAACTTATTGCCAACCTTTATTTAGGCATTTTAAAACACTTTGTTTCCCTATTACGACAATCATCTAATCCGACTATAAACTTTCAATTTACGGATATGATTGCGGCTGATCAAATCAGCACACCAGTAAAATAGCATTACACCAAAAAGGTTTAGAAACTCTGTGGTTACACCGCAAGTCAGATGGCTCATTGGCGAAAAATTGGGCATGTTCAAAACGATAACCAGCTAACGTTAGCTAGCTACATTGGCTATTAGCTCCTATCTGATATCTTAGCACCATGTTTATCTAGCCAGCTAGCTAGCATATTAGCTAATATAGCTAGCTACAGTAGCTAACACAACAGATGAAAGGGTTAGTTATCCGTAATCTTAGCTATGTGACCTGTTAGCAATCTGCTTAGCTAGCTAGCTTTGTTATTGCATGCATGTCCAGGCACGTCGGCACGAGCCTTTATTATTAGTGAATTAAACGTAACTAATATTTGCAACAGGAGTTCGATTTTGGTCACTGTGTCAGTTAATCAGTTTCTCAATACTGCACCTTTCTGTTGTAGAATGAGCTAGCTTGCTGCTTGCTGCTGATATTTCCCAGCTAGACATTCCTCTGCATTGTGCTCGTGGCTCAGGCGGTGAGTGGTGGCTGGCATAGCAACAGTTTTGCTATGTAGAGGGACTAGAGAAGGGCCGATAGACTAGAAAAGGCTAATAGCGGCCCGATATATCGGCTCGGACGATTATCGGTCGTTCTCTACCAGGCAGGGCAGGGTCAGTGTAAATGTCATGTCTGCTTAGGTCCTATGGAGACAGAGTTTGAGCTGGGAGGGAGCCAGGCAGCCTGGCCAGGCAGGAGGCTCTGACTGGCAGACTGAAGGACGGAGAGAGTGACACAGCCTGCCCTGACCACTCCACTCAGCCTGACTGGGAATGGATGCACACTTGTGCACTCAAATGGACACACACTCATGCTCAACTGACTCACACACACACACACACACACACACACACTAGTTGCATCTGACACACAGTCACTCTGTCAGCTCTTAAAGGTCGACACAGAGCTCCAGCGCCTAATGAGAAAGACGTCCACATTAGAGAATCACTTTTTCTCAAAATAGAATCGCTCTCTCTGTCTCTGTCCCTAAAATGGCCCTATCATCATCATGACGAAGCAAGCAGCCCTGTCGCCTCAGTGGAAATGACGATCTCTGTTTCACTCCGTCGTCTGTCACAGTCAGTGCCAGTGGAGACGCACACTCACTGATACACATCCTCTCCAATATGGACAAATGTAGGCAACCTGGTCCCAGATCTCTATGTGCTTTAGCCAACTGACTGTCATTGTTATTGTCATGCCATACAAGCACATACCTGTACAGATCTGGGACCAGGCTAAAAGAAGACCGATGTGAATAGATTCAAAATAATTATCCATGAAATATAGTCATTTTTCTTTGTCCTTATAGGCTCACTCTTAATGTGTTTATGTGCCTTTAATGTCTGCTCGGTGTTAGTCATTTCTTCTCCTGTTACCTGTCTCTGTTACTAAGCCACAGTGACTGATGGTTGATTCACTGTGTGTTGTTTGAGGTAGTGTGTGTAGGCGTGTTCAGACGGGCTGCTTTGCTCTGGCATGTTTACATTCCCCAGGCAGGCAGCAGTAGAGAAAACAACGCTCCCTCTTTCTTTCTCTCCATCTCTATCCCCCCACATCCCCCATCGCTCCTCATAGTTAGGCCTGTCTGCCCTCTAGGTTGTCTGATCTGATGTTGATGTCTTTCACACACTGATGACGCACAGTGTGACACACACACACACACACACACACACACACACACACGGGTGATACAGGTGTCAGGGAGGATACTGCGGCTGCATCTCAGAGGGACTGAAGCACAGAGACAGTCGAAGAGAGGATAGAGTGAGTGAGACCATGTGAGAAGGAGAGAGATTAACAGAGTGAGTGGGACAGTGAGAGGAATAGAGTGAGACCATGTGAGAAGGAGAGAGATTAACAGAGTGAGTGGGACAGTGAGAGGAATAGAGTGAGACCATGTGAGAAGGAGAGAGAGATTAACAGAGTGAGTGGGGCGGTGAGAGGAAGAGGAGTAGAACAGTATACAGGCTGCAGAGACATTTCAGATAGACTGACTACACATGGCAGGTGCCTTTCCCTCCCTCCCACTCCCTCATATCAGTCTGATGAGTCTATTTCAGTGAAAGGGCAAAATACACCAAATGGAGCTGATAAGACAGGGCGTGCAGTGTGTTTTATTAGCGTGTAGTGTGTCTTTGTGTTTCGGGGTGTGTGTGTGTGTGCTGCTTTATCAGAAAACCGTGGTCATCTACTCAGGAATATAGTTAACTGTTTTTTTTCTGTCAACTGTTGGGTGGGGTTCTCTCTGTGTGTATTTGCAGTGCCACACGTATGCAGGAGTAGTTATTTATTTATCTAACTACTCTCTCTCCGTTTTTTCTCTCTCCATACAGACGAGTACAAGATGAAGGGAGTGGAGGAGGTGAAGTACATGCGTGGAGAGGAGGACCGGGTGAATGCACGCAACCAGGAGAACCTGGTGAGAGAGGAACGACCCCACACACACACAGTCTCTGACTGTCCATCAACACACATAGAAAACACACAGTCCTCTTTGACATTCCATCAACACATGCAAACAGACGGTGTTTGTGCTAAATGCACATGTACACAGAAGCCCCCCCCCCCATGCACACACACTCACACTACACACAAATGAAAATGAAAACACACACACACAGCCATGGTGCCTCCCGAGCAGGTAGAGACAACGTGTTGGCGTGTATGGAATGTGGGAGTTTCACTAAAGGCTGTTTAAACCTGCTCCTCTCCTTCATGGCCTACATTTTGTGAGCAATAGCTACGATTTATTATTTCCTACAAACACTGTAAAATAACCAGAAAAGGTGCACACCCTTTTGGATGAGGTAACAATTGAAGGAAAGGAATCAAAACTGGAGAGAAATGAAAGTCCTACCCTCCTATTGATTGTCATTTCAGTGTCTCTTTATTCCACCATTGTTGTGACTGTGCTGCCATCATCATAGTAGCTGGCTTAAAACATGCAGGAGAACAAATGTCATTTTCAGAAGTGACTTACTATTTTTAGAAAGCTTAATGAAAAGTACTCACAGGGGACCGTTTCTCACAGACGCACATTTAATCCTGCAGAGTCAAAGTGCACACACACAACCAAACAGATTTATGTGTGACGCTGCATATCCATGAATTCTTGTAGTGAGCATACGCAGTAGCAGGGTGATCTAAAGCCTGAGGAGAGGGCAGCTCCTAGTTTAAGACACACTAAAACCTTGGCATGCCATGCTCCTCCAAAGCACAGCCAGCACCTCTAATGATCCAGGCCGGTGAGGAGGTTTTCCCCCTGGTCAGTCCCACTGGCCTCCAGCCTCTTAGCATCCCAGCCAGTGTCTGGATCCAGGCAAGAGCAGAGCAGACCAGGCTCTCCTGCACGGGGCCTACATGGCAGCCTGTCTCTTCCCAGCTCCAAGGCTCCAGCAGCAGGGGTAGGCAGCTTCTCTATCCCCAGCCTTAGGGCCACAGCTGGGCCAGGCAACTCTTACCTCCAGCCACAGACCTGTCACTCCCCTTAGCCATAGTGACACACAACACAGCAGGGTACGGATGTTTCCAACCTTAGGGCCCTGGCTGGCAGGGGGCAGGTATCTTTTCTCTCCCCAGCCTCTGGCCTACTACATGGGCAGGATGGGGTTCGGAGGGCTCTGTGTATAGTCTCTGGGCTATGAGCTGATCTGTGTGTTTTTGTGTGTTTCAGGAGAAGAGCTCTTTACAGTACAGGGGAAAACCACACAAAGAAGGCTCTGGAGCCAACGCCAACAGGACAAAGTGAGTGATAACATGTGTGTGTGAGACAAAATGTGTGTAATAAAATGTCTGTAATAACGCTGTGTGAGTCTGCGTGCACGTGTTATCAGCTAGTCATTGGTGTTACTTAACAATTATTGCTGCGCTTTTATATGTATTCATAAATGGTATCAGGCAGTGTGATTTAAATCAGTGTGTTGTTATCACTGTAGTGGACCTGAGTGGTTAGTGTCTTTTGTTTCCAGACGTGTAATGTGGCTCTATTTCTGTGTGGATTAGCATGGGTGCTGTAGCTGTATTTAGTTTGCTTTTGGATTATATACTTTGTGGGAGCACTCCATAAAATGATTATTCAAATTCCTCCACAACCACGAAGGCTCTTGCCGAAGCGGGGGTTTAGAACTGTGTGTGTGTGTGTGTGTCCTGTGTGGGGGGTGTAATGGAAAATTCTAGTGGTGTTTGTTGCCTCCCGTTTCCTCCCTGTCTAACTTCCTCCTTCATTCTCTTTCTCAATCCCTCACTCTCGTTCTCACTCTTTATTTCGCTCCCTCGTTCTCACTCTCTCCCTTTCTTTCACAGTATCCACACGTCAGAGAGCCAGCAGGAGTTCTTCAGGATGCTGGATGAGAAGATTGAGAAGGTGAGGGGCGGAATAAAGAGAGGGATGGAGGGAGGGAGGGAGGGAGGGAGGGACTGGGCAGCAGGGCCTGAACATTTAAAGAGACGGTCTCCTGTGAGATTTGGGGCTGCTAAAAGCCAGCTCTGACAGGCAGGAAATACTTCAAGTTGAGATACATCCAGATTAGGACTTTAAAAGACTACTTTATTCCTATCAACCTCACCGCTGTCTTCTCTATCCTCTCCATTTATCCTACGGAGATGCTATCTGTCCTCCCTCTTTCATCACCGTCTTCTCTGTTTCATCCCTCTCTCATCTGTGGTGTGTGTGCCCACAGGGACAGGATTACTGTTCAGAGGAAGAAGAGGCAGAGGATGGGACATAGCTAACAGGCCCCCGACTCAACCCCCTACAGAGAGCCTCCCAGAGTGTGTGTGTGTGTGCATGTTAGACTGAATCAGTGTTTGTATGTTGTGTGTGTCTATGTATGTTCGACTGCCTTTGTATGTGATTCTGTATGTGTCTGTGTGAGCATGTAGGTTTTTTGTGTGTATGTGTGAGAGAGAGGGCAAGCTATTCTCAGACTGGCTGTCGTCCCATTGGGCCCCTGAGTGAATTACTGGAGGGAGAGACGAATGAGGAGACATACAGACAGACATGTGGACTCACTGTAGCCATGCCAGTGTGCCTGCTCCCCCGCAGGACTATGGAGAAACCCTCCCCTCTACCCCAACTACCACCCCAGTGAACTGTTCTGTGGACCCTGGTCCAGCTCTGTGTATACCACCCCCTCATGACTACAACATGGAGAAGGAGGACAAACAGAAGAGGAACGAGCATTATGGGAGTTGGAGTCTGGGAGACACCCTCCTGGTTTCTACCTTCAATGGCCCTGGCTGTTGTGCTTCACCTGCGAGGAGCAGAGATGTGGATAGAGATAGAGGGGTGCTGGGGAAGGGGGTCACTTCCATAACCCCCACCAGCCCCCATCAGACAACGGAGGCTCGTTGCTGCAGTGGGCCAGACAGAGGGAAGGAAGGGAGGGGGGGGAAAAGAAAAATCTAGATATTTTAATAAGAGAAAGAAGAGTCAGTGAGTGGCTTATTTTGAAACTCTGAACTCCTGCCTTTTTGAAGGACTTTTTTTATTATGTTCATCCAGTTAATTATTTTTATTTTATTTTCATGTTTTTTTAATTTGGCTTCTATCATAGTGAATCACCTCCTGCAGGCTGCAGCTCTATAGGTCAGAGCTTCTGTGTTGCTAGACAACCTGTCCTCTTAAATATACCCTCAACGCTACTATACCAGACCTTGACTATGTGAAACACACACTCACCTTCATATTCATAGATGCAGACCCACAAGTACACACTCATACATTCAGACACAGACACACACTCATACGGACAGACAAACTCAGATAGACGCATACACACACATATGCCATTGTATTCCTGTCATTTCATTAGCCGAGTGTTATGTAAGTATGTCGATAGGCTGTGATGTTGAGGGGTTTGGGTGAATGTTGGAACCAGCAGCTGTGGGTTGGTTGCTTTCTGCTGCTGGACTTATTCATGTCCACCTGCAGTGTTTATTGCTCTTTCTTCTGCATTGGTAGCTCAGTCGCCGCTTCTCTTCAACTCAGCAGTATTGACGCTTACTGGCAGAGTGGAGTCACCCTCTGTTGACACACACACAAACACACACACACAAACACACACAGCCTTTTCATGGACTAAGAAGTGAGATTTAAAGGAAAAGAGGTGTGGTTGCCTGGGAGACACAGCCCTGATTGTGCTTCTGTCATGATTACTGGATCGTTCCTTTTTAATTTGATTTTCAATACTTTTTGTTTTTCTATTAAAATAAAAACACAGGAGCTGTTCATCTGCTGTGTGTATCTATCTGTGTGACTCAGAGGTGGTGTGTGGTTAACAGTTACAGTAAGGAAAGTCGTTTCATGCTGACATCACCGTTTGATTGAAGAGTCAGTAGATTTTCCTCTGGTACTGTTCCCAAAGCCATGTTGCAGTTTATATAAGTGGAGCGTAGAGACACCTTCTGGTCAAGACTGATGCTTTGTGCCATCTGGTGGTAGAATATCAGAATTGCACCTGAGGCATCATGAATTACAAAGAGCCTATTCAATAGGGCTGGGGGACCTAACGATATGGGGGACCTCACGATACGATATTATCACAGATACTTAGGTACCGATACGATATGTATTGCAATTCTCATGATTCTATATGTATTGTGATTCGATACTGTGATATTATTGCGATTTGATGTTCCAAACATATGGCCCACCATATGTCTGCTGCAGAGAGGCGAAAGACCCATGATAAACGAGTTTTGATCAATCATGGAAATAAAAGTGCTGAAAACACTTTGGAGAACAAGCTATGAAGGAAAAATACTGGAATTTTGGTGCAAGTACAGCCAACCAGGGCAAAAATAATGTGATATTGTCAAACATAATTTCCACCCCAATCACTACTATTCAGTGTGAGACATATGGAAATACTGGATGTATCTGTTAACCTCGTAAAGATCTGACCCCTTTTTTAAATTTTTGCCTAAAATGACATACCCAAATCTAACTGCCTGTAGCTCAGGACCTGAAGCAAGGATATGCATATTCTTGATACCACCTGAAAGGAAACACTTTGAAGTTTGTGGAAATGTGAAATTAATGTAGGAGAATATAACATATTAGATCTGGTAAATGATAATACAAACAAAACAACATGCGTTTTGTATTAATTTTTTGTTCCATCTTTGAAATGCAAGAGAAAGGCCACAATATATTGCAGTTTAGGCGCAATTTAGATTTTGGCCATTAGATGGCAGCAGTGTGTGTGCAAAGTTTCAGATTGATCCAGTGAAGCATTGCAATACTGGACTATTTTGTATCAAGTCTGCCCAAATGTGCCGAATTGGTCAATTTGATAGATTTTCAAGTACATAACTATAGAGAACATACAAAAATGATATGGTAATACAAAATATAAGTTTACACACTCCCAGGAATGTCATACATGATGGATCATTAGCTTATACACTAACTTTTACACATCTAGATGGCCGGGCGGGGTGGGTGTGTGTGGAGCCAGAGACCGCAGGGGTTCAAACTGTAGAACCCAGTTCCTACATTTGAATATAAAAATGGATTTTATCAAACATAACTATGCTACATTTTATCTCCAACTACTTCTCAGATAGAGTTCAATGTGTCAAATCGGAGGGCCTGTTGTCTGCACCTATGGCAGTCTCTATGGGGGTGCCACAGGGTTCAATTCTTGGGCCGACTCTTTTCTCCGTGTATATCAATGATGTCGCTCTTGCTGCTGGTGACTCTCGGATCCACCTCTACGCAGACGACACCATTTTGTATACATCTGGCCCTTCATTGGACACTGTGTTAACAAACCTCCAAACGAGCTTCAATGCCATACAACACTCCTTCAGTAGCCTCCAACTGCTCTTAAACACTAGTAAAACTAAATGCATGCTCTTCAATCGAACGCTGCTGGCACCCGCCCACCCGACTAGAATCACTACTCTCGACGGGTCTGACCTAGAGTATGTGGACAACTACAAATACCTAGGTGTCTGGTTAGACTGTAAACTATCCTTCCAGACTCACATTAAGAATCTCCAATCCAAAGTTAAATCCAGAATCGGCTTCCTATTTCGCAACAAAGCCTCCTTCACTCATGCTGCCAAACATGCCCTCGTAAAACTGACTATCCTACCGATCCTTGACTTCGGCGATGTCATTTACAAAATAGCCTCCAGCACTCTACTCAGCAAATTGGATGTAGTCTATCACAGTGCCATCCGTTTTGTCTCCAAAGCCCCATACACTACCCACCACTGTGACCTGTACGCTCTTGTTGGCTGGTCCTCATTACATGTTCGTCATCAAACCCACTGGCTCCAGGCCATCTATAAATCACTGCTAGGCAAATCCCTGCCTTATCTTAGCTCATTGGTCACCATAACAACACCCACCCGTAGTATGCGCTCCAGCAGGTATATCTCACTGGTCATCCCCAAAGCCAACACCTCCTTTGGCCGCCATTCCTTCCAGTTCTCTGCTGCCAATGACTGGAACGAATTGCAAAAATCTCTGAAGCTGGAGACTCTTATCTCCCTCACTAACTTTAAGCATCAGTTGTCAGAGCACCTTAACGATCACTGCACCTGTACACAGCCCATCTGAAATTAGCCCACCCAACTACCTCATCCCTATATTGTTATTTATTTTGCTCATTTGCACCCCAGTATCTCTATTTGCACATCATCTCTTGCACATCTATCATTCCAGTGTTAATACTAATTGTAATTATTTTGCACTATAACCTATTTATTCCCTTACCTCCATAACTTGCTACATTTGCACACACTGTATATATATTTTCTGTTGTATTTTTGACTTTATGTTTTGTTTTACCCCATATGTAACTCTGTGTTGTTGTTTTTATCGCAATGCTTTGCTTTATCTTGGCCAGGTCGCAGTTGTAAATGAGAACTTGTTCTCAACTGGCTTACCTGGTTAAATAAAAATAAAAAAATCTCTGGGACCCTTAGGATGACAAATCAGAGCAAGGTTACTGAATGTAAGAACATTATTTACCTTCAGAGGTGAATGTATCAAACCAGTGGCTGTGATACGTTTTTTGTTGTTGTGCACTCTCCTCAAACAATAGCATGGTATTTTTTCACTAATAGCTACTGTAAATTGGACAGTGCTGTTAGATTAACAAGAATTTAAGCTTTTTGCCCATATAAAACATGTCTATGTCCTGGAAAGTTTCTACGGAATCGGTGTCCCGTATACGGGACGGTTGAGCTAACATGCGCTAATGTGATTAGCACGACTGTTGTAAGTAACAGCAAACTTTCCAGGACATAGACATGTCTTATATGAGCAGAAAGCTTAAATTATTGTTAATCTAACTGCGCTGTCCAATTTACAGTAGCTATTACAGTGAAGAAATACCATGCTATTGTTTGAGGAGAGTGCACAACAACAAAAAACCTATAACGGCAACTGGGTTGATACATTCACCTCCTGAAGGTAAATAATGTACTTACATTCAGTAATCTTTCTCTGATTTGTCATCCTAAAGGTCCCAGCGATAAAATGTAGCATAGTTATGTTTGATAAAATCCATTTTTATATTCAAATGTAGGAACTGGGTTCTACATTTTGAACCCCTGCTGTCTCTGGCTCCACACCCACCCCACCCGGCCATCTAGATGTGTGGAAGTTAGTGTATAAGCTAATGATCCATCATGTATGACATTCCTGGGAGTGTGTAAACTTACCTTTTGTATTACCATATCATTATTGTATGTTCTCTATAGTTATGTCCTTGAAAATGTATCAATTGACCAATTTGGCACATTTGGGCAGACTTGATACAAAATAGTCCAGTATTGCAGTGCTTCACTGGATCAATCTGAAACTGTGCACACACACACTGCTGCCATCTAGTGACCAACATCTAAATTGTGCCTAAACTGCAATATTATGTTGTTGCCTTTCTCTTGCATTTCAAAGATGTTGAAACAAAATAGAATATAGTATATTCTCCTACATTAATTTCACATTTCCACAAACTTCAAAGTGTTTCCTTTCAAATGGTATCAAGAATATGCATATCCTTGCTTCAGGTCCTGAGCTACAGGCAGTTAGATTTGGGTATGTCATTTTAGGTGAAAAATAAATTTAAAAAAGGGTCAGATCCTTAAGAGGTTAAAGAATATGCAGGAGGAACTTCCACATTATGTAATGCATTCTCACAACTATCGATAGCTAATATGTTAGAAATCTGATATCTCTCAATTTGCCTTGAGTCTTTAGTGGGTCACTGGGATGGATGTGGATTTGTTTAATTTGGAAACCAGTACAGGTTTTGAGTGTTAGTTTATAGTGCTACCATTCCTCATAATGGGCTGGAGCGGATCACACACACACTCTCTCTCTGTCTTGCTCACAGGGCCACATATTATTATAATAATAATCATCATCATCAGCAACCACTGTACAGC